CCTTCTATCACCTCCGTGATCACATCTGTAATCTTACCATAGTGTCACAACAAACCCTTTTTTTTGAACATCACAAAAAGCACATCCACAATTCTGTCTTCTAACACCTCGGGAACATTGCCTGCCGCCGTCGAACCCTCTCACCGTCATCAGCTGATGAAGCCCTCATCCGCGACTTCATCACCTCCCACCTGGACTAATGCATCTGTGGGTTCTTATCAATAAACGTCAGCGCATCCCAAACTCTGCTACCTGCCTGCTAAACGACGCCGTGACCACATCATTCCTCTCCTCCATAAACTTCACTGGCTCCCCATGCCAAAGAATCAACTTCAATTTCTTCCTCACAACCTCCACAGCAATCCATCCTCTGGCCCCGGCCCTACCTGACTGAACTCCACCATCGCCACACCACCCGCAACCAATGTTCTGTTGACGCCAACCTCCCGTCGCCCCCTATCCATCCCACATACAAAATCTGGGGAGACATGGCCCTCTGGAATGCACTCCAACAAATCATCCGAGACGCCCCTCACTCACCATCTTAAAAAAAAAAAAAAACCTGCAGAAAACCCAACTTTTTTACATCGCTTTCACTCGCTATGATTACCTCCCCTTATCCGTGCATGTATTCTTTCCTATCCCTATTCACACATTTATTTATTTTACTTTCTGGAAAGAGTGTTTGTTTGTCACGTAAACCGCTAAAAAGGTCCCATAAATTATTATTTGTATAGTTATTATTATTATTATTATTATTATTATTATTATTATTATTATTATTACCGAACAGTATGAGGTCACGTGGATGCTCATATTGTAATTTTGTGATCACATTGGCATGATGTACGTCGTGTTGCCTACAGGAGGAGAAGTTTGAATGTAAACAAACAACAGCCATTCTCTAACAGCCGCTATTTCATCCTTGGCATGTGACACACATCAAGAAGGAATGGTTCAAATCTCCTCTTCCATATTGTTCTCTCTCTTGCTTCATGTTACATTATTTTATTGCTGGCTCTCATCCCACTTCAGATCTCCTCCATGATGCATTTCTTGCCCAGGGCATGCTGACCGGCCATGTTAGGTTCAAGCTCCTCATGGTTGTAGCAGCGTAAACAACAACAACAAAAAAAAGTTGAATAGCGCTGATGTTTTCCACTCCACAATGAAAAAAAAAAAGAATATGAAGGCTAAAACGTTGTCATGGTTTAGCATGAAGCAAAAATAATAAAGGGTGAAAAGTACAAATAAAAGGGAATGCTGTGATGGGCTCCCAATTCAAGAAGTATCAAAACGAACATCGACATTTTCTGCGAAAAAGAAAATGTCCCAACAAAACTAAATAGTGCAGAGCAGTTAAGCACGATGCAAAACAAGTTGTAAAAAGGGTGGAAATGTACAAAAAAAAAAGGATTTTACTTTGCTAAGCTGGCGTAACAAGCGGTCAACTAACAGATGCCTTTTTATGTTCGCTCTCCTTCCACTCCAACTGGGCTGTAGCTGCGTTATCGTCATAATCATCGCGTTCAAACGCATGTTAAATGGCCGTCAGCACACACCTGCTACTACTTAAAGGGCATCTGATTTACCTCAAATAAATTTCCTATGTTCTAGAAGTCCGTTTCCTCACATGAGTTTTGCCTTCTTGATAAAGCCAGGCTTTGCGTGCCAACTGAGCCTGTTATTTCAAATTGATCATAATTCCTTCCACCTTGTCGAAGGCATCAGTTCCAGCTGAATAAAATCAGCCCCAATGCATGAGATTGTGGCCCCAAAAAAATCAACCCTGGTTTAAGATATGTTCACACATGCCTGGGAGACTTTGAAAATGTACGATCCAAAAATCGATCACATTATATTAAGTATAAATTATAATTACGACACTCTGAAACATGAAAACATGATTCAAGTATATTTTGTGATTTGTAGTGAGCCATGTCTGAAATTATTGAATTGTGGTGTTTTCTTTTTCCTCTCTGTCTCTTTTATCTCCTGGATGTGTTTCATAGCATCCTCATGAGCAAAAAAAAAAAAAAGTCACACTGACAACACATGCCAAACTCTTTACTCAGATGCAGCCAGAGAGCACACATTAAACTCACAGGATTAGCGCCGTGTGGCAGCAGATTGTACCCGGCTGTATTTGAACAGAAGTTCGAGTGTGAAACCATGCGTTTTCTATTTCACTCCCAAACCATATGGTCCCCGCGTGTAGGTAATGGCATCAAGTGTTCTGTTTCCAGCTGATTTTGCACTTTACGACTGTATTTCAAACAATACAAACATATCAATTTCCAGTTAACAATCAATATATGATGTTGATGAAAATAAAAATGCGCATTTAAGCATTTTTTTTCACCAAGGCCATCGTGCACTCACGGCATTGCAAACTGAATTTTGGGTCGTTGGTTGTCATTCGGCAATTTTCACGGGTCAGAAGAACAGTCCCTCAGGAGCCTTGGAAATCAAATCGGTTAATTGTTTTTGTTCTGGATTAATCCCAGGATGGATATATTTGTGCCGACTAATTACATAACAAAGTGCCTGGTAAAAAGATTGAATGGACTGTGACTGGTAGTGATTGGTGAATATTTTTATGGGACCGTTTTTGTGTGTGTTGGAAAATGCATGCACATGCTTTTCTCTCTTTTTTCCTCAAGTTGGGACGCCTACTGGAGACAAAATAATGATAAATATTTGCCATGAATTGAAGTAATGACAAATGTTTGCTGAATTTAGTTCCTTTTATTTGCTTTAACCGGCTGGAAATCCCTTGCTGATTTCAGCTCGCATTGTTTGCATTGGTGCCGCTCGGGTATTGTAGTCACACAAGCACAAAAGCAGTAAAAAGCGTCCACATGAGAACGAAAGGTGGAGAGCGTTTTGAGGCCCTTGCATTTCCTCTCATTTCCCTGAAGAAATAACAGCTCCAGGTATTGTTCTTCAGGAAAATTCTCGCATGGGGAGGTGGAAGGCAGAGGCTGGGTCATCAAACCACTAAGGGGCAGGAAAACATTTAAATCAGTTGACTGTACGGTGTCGCTGATGTTCAAAAGGAATTTTCTGCGTCGAACTTCCATCTTTTTGGCAATAGTGATGCGATTCGGCTGGCAAATGACAGGTTGCAGGAATGTAAATATCTCGGACAGAGGAAGCCAGTCATGAGTAATCAAACATGCAGATCCTTTTGCAAAAACACCAGGACAGCCAACGAGCAGGATCTGCTTTAGCTAGTTTTTGTAAAGAGAGCGAGAGAGTGCGTCAGGCCCGTAATACTTAATACTCGAGAATTCATTCATCCGCTTTTGAATATGCGCAAAGAAAAACATTGTCTTTTCAGCACAAACTTTACGTCAGCAGTTAATACCAAACTTTGTATGATAATGGAAGTACAATTGCAAATTGCTATTAGAGGTCCTTAATAATTCATATTTTAACACAAACTGTTGATTGTACTCATATTTTGGTTGAATGTAATCATTAAATTAAGATATGAAGTGTGGAAATTAGTGTCCTATCTCTCCATTTCTATGTGTGTAACTTTGATTACCTGATTAAAGGATGCGGTGCAAATCTACGTGACTTGCCACATGAACAGAGAGAACAAGGCGGACTTGATTGGATCTCCTTTTGCGTCACGGGTCAGATGGAACTCTCTAAGAGCTCATTGTGAGGCAGAAGGGTAAAAGACAGCGCCTGTGGCACCAGCACATGGACCTCCATGAAGCATCATTGATTCCTGGTGCAGGACAAGATGTTATTCACAGCCAAGTATATCAAAGGCTTCTTTGTGAATTAATCTTATCGAAATGCTGTGACCTAACCTCCCGAAAGTACAGCGAGTATAAAATAAGGTTGCCACCCCCCGATGACCGAATGTATGAAGGTGTTGCAGCAGGACATGTTTGCAGTGGGCACTGAAGCTCAGGCAGGCATATTGAGCAGTATGTGCTGTAAGCACAGCGTCAGCCATCCCCTCTAAGTTGACATTTGAATACTTGGCAGCATGACTGATGTGTTCTGGTCACCAAACACAAGAAACTGAGGTGGATCGTTTGCTGACTTTCTAATCCTAAAATCCACACTTTGAAAGCCACTACTTTATTGAACTGTCTGTACACTAATTAGAATTACGAAGCATTGAGATAAGAGCGCACTGCAAATATTTAAAACCTGCAGGCTGTTGTCTTCTCTTCGGACTCTAGTTTTTTTGTTTTTGTTTTTGTTTGAATTTCATAGGTTAATTCGAGTGTTGGTTCTATTCTATCTAATTGTATTTCTTTTTTTCTTTTTTTTTTTGCCTTTTGTCATTTGATAGATGGGTTATCTTTTGTGTGTTCCGCGAGCTAAATATGTGGCACGCATATATTCAATATGCTAGCCTGACGATGAGTGCATATTAAAGGTGTCTGGAAAGATTGCAATGAAGATGTGGAATGAGGACAGATGGAAATAATGTAAGTTCTTCATAAATGCACACCTCCTTCCTTTGGGTGCACTAAAGAGCAAGGGCTGTGGCCGTAAATTATTGAGGGGTGGTGCGTAGCCCTCAAATTGAACAAACAGCTGTCTATATTTTATTATTGCGTAAGGGCATCTCTTATCTGGATGTGCACAAGGCGACTAGTAACCACTATGAATGAGCATGTGTTTTGCATGGAAAATTGGCAGCCATAATACTTAAATGAGGTTGAGCTTACCAGTTTGACTGCATGTGTGTGCAATTTCCACCCAACTTAGAACCAAAGCCCTCCAAATTCATGACTGAACACATTTTGTGAATTGGAAAATGATGCAACAAAATGCAGTCATGTGTTGTCATTAGTTTTTAGAACTTAAAGTAGTTCTGTGTCGGCAGCTTTTGTCTCGGGCAGTCACAGCTGCAGGGACAATGTGTTCAAACTCTCTGAAGCTCACAGCTCCCTCTGCTTTGTTTGCTTCCTGATTGGCTGAGCCCGGGCCGTGATGTCATCAGTGCATGTTATAAGGGCGCTGACAAATAGCCTGAGAGACACATGAGAAGCAGTGCTGCTAAACTGAGGGGCAGCTTGAGTGAGAACACCAGCAGTATAGAGAAAGTGCGTCGAAAAGAAAGACGTGGCGCTGAAGTTTTTCAACAAAAAAGTCATCAAACGGTGACTTTTCTTCCAGGGGGAAGTCAAGGAAGGAAACCACCTGTTGAGGTCAGTAATTTTACTTCACGGTCAGCTGGTTAAATCAGCTTTAAAAACTGGCTTTGCTCAACCTTTGCAGGACTGGATAGTTTGTTTTTTGTTGGCAACATTTGGTGGGTAATTTAACTAACGGCCAACATGTGGGTGTGCATTTTTCAGTACTTACTTTTTTTTTCTTAAGAGTTTCTTTTACATGTATTTTTTTCTGTGCACACTATCTCGGTCTCATCAAGCCACTGTTAAAATTGTACTCTGTTTTTTTTTCTTTTTTAATGGAATTCTGTCGCTTCTCTGCAGATGGGAAGTCCAAGCCCCAATTGTACTCTGTTTTTTTTTCTTTTTTAATGGAATCGCTTCTCTGCAGATGGGAAGTCCAAGCCCTCCGCTTTACCTCAATGTGAGCCCAGAGATGATCAACTCTACATCAGATGTGACCAAAGGCGAGGAGGGCTTCAGTGAGGCCACAATGATCGTGCTGGGCATGATCATGTCGTCGCTCATCCTCTGTATCGTTTTCGGCAACATCCTGGTCATTACGGCGATTGCTCGCTTCCAGCGTCTGCAAAACGTCACCAACTGCTTCATCACCTCCCTGGCTTGCGCCGACCTGGTCATGGGTCTCATCGTGGTCCCCTTCGGCGCCTGTTATATCATCTTCAAAACCTGGCACTTTGGTAGTTTCTGGTGCGAGTTCTGGACGGCGACCGATGTTCTCTGTGTGACCGCAAGCATTGAGACCTTGTGTGTCATCGCCATAGACCGTTACTTGGCCATCACCTCGCCCTTCCGTTACCAGACCCTGCTGACAAAGTGTAAGGCTCGCATTGTGGTGGTGCTGGTGTGGATCATCGCCGCCCTGATATCGTTCCTGCCCATCCACATGAAATGGTGGATATCTGACGATAAACAAGCGAAAGAGTGCACCAATGATAGCAACTGCTGTGAATTCTACACCAACATGGCTTATGCCATCACGTCCTCCATCATCTCCTTCTACATCCCTTTGGTCATCATGGTGTTTGTCTACAGCCGAGTTTTCCAGGAGGCCAAGCGCCAGCTCAGAAAGATTGATCAAAGCGTGGGGCGATTTCACAACAACGACAGTTTCAAACCCATGGACGCCAACATCGGGCGGGGCCAGAAGAAGATGAAATTTTGTCTGCGGGAACACAAAGCCCTAAAGACGCTGGGCATCATCATGGGGATCTTCACTCTGTGCTGGTTGCCCTTCTTTCTGCTCAACGTGGTGGTTGCCATATGGAAGGTGGAAGACATTGACCTGACTTTTCGGATCCTCAACTGGATAGGTTACGCAAACTCAGCCTTTAATCCGCTCATTTACTGCCGGAGCCCGGAGTTTCGATATGCCTTTAAGGAAATCCTCTGCCTCAAAGGGAACCACGACTCCAAAGCGGGACCTATGAATGGATACATCTGCGATAGACACAGTTGGCAGAGTGAGCCGCAGGGGCGGAGTAAAGGCAACTCAGAAGACAGTGACGCCTTCGAGGGCTGCTTGGAGCAAGGAGCATGTGTTGACAATGTTGAGGACAGAGCGGTGGACTCCAACGGGAACTGCAGCAAAGACCCCGCGATTGTAAAGGCTGTACTTTAAACTATGAGACTTTTAGCCCAAAGGGCACCAACTTTCATGTTTACACTGCTGTCATGCACCTATTGATTTTGGCAGGTAAGGCCAGTCAAGAAGCATGGTAGAGGCGCAGGATTCTGCTTAGAGGAAACTATATTTATCATGTTACAAAAATACTGTTGACAAATTGTGCTGATTCATTCTGTTCATATTCCGTCTACCTCACCACATCGTCGTCTTGAAAGTGCGCTTGAACATTCGTATTGCCACAACGTGATAGCACTGAGGCCGTTTGATCTATCCTCGCTTTAAAAAAAAAAAAAAAAAAAAAAAAAAAGGAGGATGCATTGTCGATTCATCCGGCTAGATTTCAAATTTCACCATCGGTGGTGCTTATTTGTGAAACATTCCAAAAGCATTCCAGCTTCGTTTTGTCTTCACTGAGGTTCCCGTGTTTGGTGAACAATGCGATAGATAAACAACAGGTATGGGATCAAACTCCTTTCAGCTGTTTTGTGAGGCCCCCGCTAAGCTTGACCTCCCTTTTACAGCCTGCTCCTTGGGAGGTTGTGTAGCAGATAGCACCACTGATAAATAACAGTTATCTCCGTCTCGCCGGTACAAGCTGAGCAACGCCTGGGGCCATTCTCTGTTGGCTTTGTGATGAAAACCTGCACATTTGTAGAGCAATCAGCAATTCCATTTTCACCATTAATGTTTCCTTAAAAGCATACTGTTCGAAATGCTGTCAGCGGCACTTGCTGAGCAAGCAATTAATTCCCTTGAGTGCACTGGTTCATTTGAATGTAATACCCAATGAATGCACAAGTGTTTTTTTTGTTCAATGTTGTGTTTGAATGAGAGTACCGTGTTTACAACATGAACATTGAGTGTTTGTGGCTCTCTGCGTGCCTGTGTGTGTGTGTGTGTGTGTGTGTGTGTGTGTGTGTGTGTGTGTGTGTGTGTGTGTGTGTGTGTGTGTGTGTGTGTGTTCTCATACCCCACGGAGGGTGGGAATAGCTTAACAAGCGGCCAAGATGTGTTTTGTACGAATCATCTTAATGACAAGAGACAAGCAGCGCACGTTTGTCATTTGAAGGACAATTTCCAGACTTCATCTATAGCGCCATGAAATAATCCAGAAGAGTCTTGGCACCGAGTTCTTCCCTTGGTGTGTCTGTCTCCAGGAAGTGCCCCAATCCAGCTGAGCCCAGCCCGATAAACAAAAGTAAATCCATTATCGCCGCTGTCAAGCGACAAGATCGAATCTCCTCCCTAAAAACAACATCGCTGTACTAAGTTCCCTGTTTGAATGCTGCCGTTCCCCAAAGGACCAATTTGAAAAATGAGTCTTATGAGGACGACTTTATAGGAGATACAGCTGACATTCTCAGCCTCAATTGCTTTGAGGGAGTGGAATCTCTTGAGTCAGGTTATGATAACTTATTTTGATGGTGGCGGCAGTTTGCTAAATGTCGCAATAGATGGCCGGAGGAGGAAACACAATCAGTGTTAGTAACCTCTGTTTTTGAGTGTAGCCTTGTCCTGGCTCCCCGTGAACTTTGTATCTCCATGCACAGTATATCTCGGTTCAATCTCGCGTGGCAAAGCAGAGCAAATTGACGCATGTAATGGGTCATTGTACGTCAAATGTGTGTGAAGTGAAAAACAAAACCCGTTTTTAGTCCCTCACCCCCACACCCCCTGTTTTTCTTCTTTGTGAATGATTATAAAGTATTCAAGGGTTTAATGTCATAACAAATGCTCCCGAGATGTCATTTCACTGTATTGTGTCTAAAAAAAAAAAAAAAAAAAAAAAAAAAAAAAAAGAAAAGTTCATGATTCCTAACTACATTTGTTATTTATTTACGTGCACCTGTGAATTTCGCTGTCAATTTTCAGGTGCGTAAAAAACACAGCTCTCATTTTTTTTCAATTAATTGTATTTTGAATGGTATACGTGTATTTGTGCTGATGTGCTGGCTGTTGCAATTTCTTTTCCAAGTAATCTGTTTAGCCCCATTAATGGCGGCTTTGAACCGCACTCAGTCGTATATCCACACTGCTCCCTCCTGGCGGTGCCCTCTCCTTGCAGCTCAAACTCTAACTACTAAGTGGTTACTTTTCGTGTGTCCACAACCCAATTGATATCTACAGTTTCAACGAGAGGAAAGGAAATCACGACACCGTTTGAATTCCCGATGAGGAAAAAAGTCAAACAAGAGAGTTCATATTAGTTGGTTAAGCATAACTGTGTGTAAGTGCAATGGCATGCAAAGGCAGAAGTTCACTTTCATGGCCATTAGGCTTCAATGGTGTGAGTAGCACTGGAAAACATTTTGTAGAATTTTACGATTAGAGCAAAGAACACCAGAAGTCACTCAGTACTTAGCCTATTCACATGACCTGACTCTCATTGTGATTTTGCATATATGTATATGATTGTCTGGTGGAGTGCTGTGGCTCGTTGATGTGTGAATTATTAATACTAAATATGCTTCAGCCACTGTGTGATAAGTGGCCGCTCTTGCAGCTCGATGTTTACTCGATGTTTTTTCAACTCCTTCATGCACAAGTTTGTTGTGGGTATATGTCTGTTGCATCATGTGATGTCCTGTGATATTTATGAAAAGCTGGAGCTGTTGAACTAAATTATTTACGTGTGGCATGTATTGTCCTCATTTTCTGATCATTAAATGGCCCAACAAGAAGAGGTCTACTCTTTTGTGGAGTTCTGAAATGCACATTTGTATTATCATTATTATTATTGTAATTATTATTATGCAAGTGAGTGCAATTGAACAGAAGGACTGTTGAACAAAGACAAACAAAACTGGGCAAGGTTTTGTTGTTTTCTAAATTTCCCCCATTTTTTTTCCAATGGCATCTTATTTTGAGAAAAGAACCAAAAAGTTACCAATCAAATGAGCTAAATCTAATACGAACGTAACGAGGTCCAATGACAGAACCATCCGTCTTTACAAAGATGGTGAGATACACCACAGACACCGTCAGTGTGTATTTATGTAATAATAATTACCGTACTGTGTTATTTATGTTACTTTGCAGTGGTGTATTTTTTTCCCCTATTTCTCTATTCGAGGTTAAGCTGTATAGTATGTATGACAGTCTTGTTGTGCACCACACACACTATAACGTGAATTAAAAAAAAACAACAACATTTAATTGAACTTATTAAGCACTTCTTTGACAGTGTCTGATCCTGATAATATTATTCATCTTTAAAAGCTGACATTTGATCATGAAATTTCATTACATTATGTAGGTTTAGATTGTGCAGGACAGGTGTCCAAAAACCAAAGCCAATATGCCTTCAATTTGGATTTACTTGGATACTTGCATCATGTTCATTGAGTATTCATTTGCATTTTTTTCTGGTTTAAAATACAGAATATAGGTATTGATCCATTTTTCTATATGGGGTTGCGGTTGAGCTGGAGCCTAACCCAGCTGACAAACTCCAAATGTTTCTGAGCCCAGATTTGAAACCACAGCCACAGAAATGTGAGGCAGATGTGCCGACCACTATCTCACAGAGCTGCAATATATAAACTTAATCATACCTGCATGCTTAGAGTGAACTTAAAACACAACTATACACAGGATTTACATAGTTGTCCTTCACACAAGAGCCCATTGTTTGTATTTATTTTTACTGATTCTCTTATCATGGCACATTAAATTAATTGATCCCCTGAAGTGATTAAAAGTTTTCCATTTCTTTTGGTCTTTCCCCTTGAAGTTACATGAATGTGTTAAATAACTGCAAATGGAAGATTTTTTTTGTCAATACTCGTCTTTGTTGGGTAACACCAAAGGCAAAAAAAAAAAAAAAAAGCCCATTATCTATAACTGACTCTTCCTCATTTGTCACGGAGTAGAATCTCTTGCTATGACAGGACACAAACTGCACACTGAGAAATGTCTGTGAAATGCTTGCTGTCTTTAACCGAGTCACTGCACACAAGCTGACAACAGAGATGAACGACTCCGTGTCATGAAAGCATCATTTCTGATTCAGTTCCCGACAAAGAGCCATGGGACACATTTTGCTTGTGATTGTCATTGTCGTTACATCGACAGTATTTATGTCTGTTATGCAGCCTCAAATAGGGTGAACCTTTGATTTTTGGTTCAGGACAATTCGGTTAGAGGCATAGCTTCCTGTGACCCTGCATATGATCATCAATTGAAAAAAAAGGATGACTGATTGCAAAATGAATGGATGTCATGAATTGATTGATATTATTATATTGTATTATTAGCTTCCCATAGCTACAGCCTTTGGCCCAAACATTATCAAATGCATCATGGTTGTTGCTTTGACTTTAACCCTTTCAGGAACAGCCTTTACTACAATGGACAGCTTATTATGTTATCAGGTTATAGGGTGCATGAAAGGGTTAAATGCACAGAAGCGTCTGTCTTAAGAGGATCACATGCTGAAGCTCAAATTCAGCATTCTCATGTTTTGAACAATTCATAAGATGGGATAGTAGATAGATCTGCTTTGGTCCATAAGATCCAGTTTCTCGATTATGTTTGTGATTTACAGCAATTAGGGTCAGAGCGTGTGAAAAGTTTCTCTTCAAAAGATTGAAATGTCCCCTGACATTTTGGCGACTTAAGCGAACAAGGCACCACCATGTCTGCAGTCCCGACGCTCCCAGGGGCTTCTTCCCCTACAAGCGTGCACACACAGTCGCATGTAAAAACTCACTCAAGTTTCTTGGTCCCGTTCTGAAAAACTAGCTCCACCTGACCTGAGGTTAGAAAAGCAGGAATGACTCCATGGATGGGTTTGATTCAGCCAAAAGAAACGTAATAAAACATCACGGCTTCTACAGCCTGCTGATGTAATATTTGCTGCTATTCAATAGAATAACAGAAGACACGAAACTGATGCACATATGCTGTCAACTACATGCACTATATGTTCAAATGTGAACATTACTTTTGACAACTGATGCATGGCTGTGCCATTTGAAGACTTGGGATGAAAAATTCAGCAAATTCAGCTGATTTCGATCAATGAGCATACATTTAGGAAACCGGTCTTTCCCAATTGATTACATTAAGAGAAGTAGAGCAAATTGTCTATCCCAATTTGAGCAGGTAACTGATTCCTGTAAAAAAAAAAAAAAAAAAAAAGTTTGACATGTAGAATGCTAGCGGTGTATTGTAAGTACTGTAATGCTCATGACAATATGATTTTTGGTGGCTGCATATGAGCATTTTCCTCTTTATAAAACTGAAAGATGATCACATGAGGGTGGAAGAACATCTCTTTTTCCCCCCCAACAAGAAGCACTCATTGTTAACATGGCCCTTGAAAATTCTGTAATGCCAGCCGATTCCATGAAATCCAGCAGAAGGTGGCTGAAACTGTATTGTCTGTGGAATCAATCATGGCTCGAGGATTTTTTTTTTCATCTCCTGGTGCTCAAGGGGGCTGAGAAATGTTTTATAAATATACGTTTAAAAAAAAGAAAACACAACTCAACAGGATCTTATGGGTTTTTTTTTTAAATGTTGAAACTAACAGTGATTCTTGCAGCACTATTTCTAAAACTATTCATGTAGCGCAAAAACCACAGATGTTTGCACAACTAAAAGCACAAACACTGCTTTGTACTGACTTCATAATTTTGTAACACACAAATATGTATTTGCATTGTGAGTTTGGATGTAATGGGGGAGGTTTCAAGAAATGTGTGTTTAGTTATTGTGAGATACTGCAATGTGGAGCATGTTGGTGACACACTAAAGGGCAAGTTTATTGATTGCGTTTAATGTGGGGAGTATGATCTTATATGGTATTTGCTGCCACAGCAGCCAGTCAAGTTGCTGTAGCACAGGTGTGATGTGATGTGTATGAGGGGATCTTTGAGTTTTGAGGCAATCCGCAATTTACAAATGGACTTCATTGGTTAACCAGTAAAAAGTGAAGTTCAAAATTCAGGACAGGATCTGACTTAATGAGAGTGGCAGTATCGCTAGGTGAGAGGGATGAATGCCTATAATGGAGACGATGTGTCTGATGGAGGAAATGTGTCGAAAATGAAAGAGTGCTATTGAGGGTGACACACAGTCTCTTGGAGGAGTTACTGACTTGGATGGAAAATGTCCTGATTATAAAGAGGCTGGATTTGGTGCCAATAATCAAGCAGAATTGTTTGTCCTGATTATAAAGAGGCTGGATTTGGTGCCAATGATCAAGCAGAATCAGCAATTTTTTTTTTTCACCGTTATTTCTGAGAAAGAGATCAGATTTCCCGTCTACTGTTGTTGAAGGAAGAGGGTAGGAGGATCAAGGTGGACAGTCAGAGATGGGTTTCAACTGCTTAGCAGTGGAAATACATTTTATTTTCATGAAAAAATATTGCTGAGTAGGAGGAGGTAGATAAAGAATAGAATAGGATCAAGGACAGAACCTTGGGGAACACCAGAGGAAAGGTGGGAGGGGTGTGATGGCAATTGACTAAACTGACTGAGGTCAAACAGATGTGCAGTGAACCAGTAACATACAGTGTAAAATCTTCCAATGTGTGAAATGATATTTTCTACAAGGCTGAAATGAAATCTTGGACGGCCAAAAAAATGGAAAGGAGACCTAACTCGACAGTCATGAGAGGTCACTGGATATTGTGATGAGAGCTGTCTCTGTGTTGTGCAATTGTTGGAAACAAAACTGAAACAGAGGATGTACTGTAGCTTATTGTTGGGAAGGTGAACATTTCTAGGATTTGCACGACATGAGATGTTGTCGGTTTCGGGGGTTTTGAAGCTTTTGGAGTCAGCAAGATGCCCTACATTTAGTTTTTGATTATTTGGCTCTCAATGTTCAGAATCCGGTGGCGCTCAAAAACATGGATGCAGTTGCTTCAAATTTAACCTTGTCCTTTCTCCTAAATGGTTCCATTATCTGAGCAAAATAACAAGCCGACATAATGGGCTGCCAAAGCAATCAATGTTTCTCTATTTAACTCCATGCTGTGTAGGGGATATTGTATTCTTAATGATAGGTAATTGCATTTGTTACGGTCTCACTTTTGCCACTTTCAAAGCCTTATACAACGCCACAGTCGTGGTGTTTGTCTGCTATCTCAAGCTTCATAATTTTTGTTGTGAAGTGCAGAAAAATAAATTTGCCTTTCCTGAACATCACGGTCGCTTTGTTCCAGAACCCCTGTGTGTTAATACATTCGATAAGTGGCAGCCGTCGTGTTGTAAGCACAGGCGTTAAAGTGTTCACTCTGAGTAAGCCTCAACCGAGAAGATTGACTGAGCCAGTTTGACTGCTTTGGGCTGTCCCGGAGACTGTTACTGGAAAATACTGGTCTGGAATAATCTAAAACAAATACAATTATGAGACACACCTCTTAATCAGGGGATGTGCTGGGGTTCTTAGTTTACTTATTTCTTAAACCTCATTTCAAAACTTTCAACAAAAACATCCAACTCGGTACTGGGATGGTTTAGTGTAGAAGAACTTGAGGGCCCTGATCTCATGGGATGTCTGAGAAATGTGTGTCTTTGCCCCCACCAACATTTTCTACAGATGAAAACTCTTTCCCAGAACACATACCTCTTGTCTTATGTTACATATTGAGATGATTTTCTGACAACTAGCGTTCCAGTAACCGTGTTACATGTGACCATATTTGTGTTCCAGGGAGCAAAATGACAGATTTTTTTTTTCCTGGCCCATTCTGTCTTTGTCCAGGCTGCCAAGGTTATTGATGCAGTTAGTCATTTCATTTTAGTTTTATTTTATATATATACCTACCAGCCACAACATGACTGCCAATAGGTGGGCCTTCAGTGGACTTTAAAGTGACTTAATGGGTCCCCAACTGAGGAAAAAAAAAATCCCAATCTAAGTCGCAAATGCAGTTAGTACTTCCAATGGTGTTTAGGCTAGCAGTGAAGGCCTTGACGACCCTGACCACGTGCCCCGGGGTAATAACGTTCAGATTTGCTTGACACTTTCATCGGGCTATTAATCAAACAATATGTTCAGCATTGTGGTTGCAGTATGCAGTGTGTAGAAATGTGCTGCATCAAAATGAGCGCTCTTTGTCGTACTTGAATGACTTTGATTAGTTTCATGTAAGTACCGTAAAAATATAAAAATCGGAGCAGCCCTATGATGCAGTACATATGCCGCATTGTTCAATGAATACGTCTCTCTATTATGATAATTTTTTTCCCTCATTAATATATCGTTCTTTTCAATTCGTTTGGTATTATTATTATAGGTATAACAATCATCTACTACATCAATGTATCAATTTGATGTATTTTGATTGATCTGTGCTCATCAAGTTGGTCGTTGTAAAAGGTAATGAATCAATGATATCGGTACTAGGGATGGACGCATTGGATTTAAACAGGGCAGAATTTACCTGCAAGTGTGTGTATGTGTACAGGCGGAGGTTGCGTATGTGTGTGCATGAGTGTGTGTTGAGCATTTTCGTTGATCAAGACATTTAACATTACTGCATTCAATTAGCCTGCCTGTGAGCTCTTCGCCACATTCCAGCCAGCAGATAAAATGTAGCATGATCGATGACCGCCAAGAAAGAAATTATCCAGCAGCGTGTTGAAAGACTTTGCCTTTTGCAAAGACGGAGATGCTCTCAGTAAGCTTGCTGTTTCTCCAGCCACTTAATTAAGGAGGGATAGGCAATTGGCAGCCCAAGGGCTGCATACGCTCATTCTTGAAGTTGCCCTTGAGTAATTATTGATGAATTAAGTTCTGGAAAAAAAAAAAGTTTATTCTAGTTGAGCAGAGAAGAGAGACCAGAGATTTTATGTTCAGCAAATTTAAATGCCAAAAAAAAAAAAAAATGTTCATCGGGGCTCTAACAGCCATGAAAGCCATTAGAACACTGATTTCAAAAGTACAGTTGACAGTTTGTCTGAAGTGAATGAAAGTGAATGAGGAGTTACTCAATTTGTGTCCTCCAAAAACATGGATATAGTCAAGACATCAGAGTGTTACAAACATATATGGTGGATTTAGAGTCTTCATTGGACAAGCTGCGGCTGCTGTGATGGCTTGGCGTACCCGCGACGATGCAGAGGGGAACAGATATTTCCAGGATGACCTTTACTGCCCTATCCTGCTCAGTGTTCTCACATAAGCGAGCCAGTTTATTCATTATGGGATTTCGAAAGACATGCAGGACACAATATAATATTACAGTCTTGAAGTAAGATTATTTTTGTGAAAGCGTGCAACAATTGAGTGCTTGCACCTGATGTTGGTTTGCATTTCAGCAGTTTTATGCAAGACAGCCCGTTGCAGCAAGGGTCAGGGGTTTGGACGAATAACAGTACAAGGTTATTTTTGGTAATTGAAGACAAGATCATACACGTTAAAAAATATATAAAAATTGCCATGAAATTTCCATCATTTAATTTGCCTATACATGTACGAAGGTGTCATGGGATTTACACATTTCTCGCCACCTGCTCCAACACTGACCATCCGGCCGGGCACCTTTTGATACATTCTCTCTGGCGCTGCGGTGCATGGTAATGTCATAAAAAGTAAATGTTCTGCAGCATATTAATGCCTCAAAAATTACAACCGCATAATAATTGTGTGGGGCACGTGACTTTCAGAACAACAGCAGTGGAGCACGAGACATTTTTCACTCACTGGCATGCTTCAGGCTGCATGTCAACACAAACATGGTATCCTCCACCACTGCTTGAGAAACGGTCTACCCCTTCTTGCAAAGCAAATTATTTAGTGATATAAACGCACAGAAAAGTGTTCTGTGGCCAGATCATGTTGCTCTATTGATATTTTTGAAAAAGTAAAATAATCCATGGTCATTTAAGAACAGTTGGCTGGCTACACTTGATCTTTTGTTAAATATTGGTGCACGGCTGTTTGTTTAGTCAAATTAGACCCGTAGCCGGTTCAACCACTGCTTATTAACATGAAGCGATATTGTTTTCACTTTGTTTGATAGAACGAGATGTCATTTGTTCAGGAGTCAGATGCCATGTGGGTAAAAGTTGTTTTTTCTACTCTGTTGGGATGGGAGACCTTTGAAAAGTGTGTGCTGTGGATATGGGCTGTCATTGTGAAAGTTTTGTGCCCTCTTTTTGGCATGGCTGTCATCTTGTAGGTGATGGAGTGGTGTGAAGGTTACGCCACAGGTGGGTTGTGCGGTTTTTAATGCCACGCCGAGAGAGCCCTGCTTTCCTGTACGGTCCAGTTCCCAAACCAGACTGTGATGGAGTCAGTCACGATTCTGTCCACTGCGCATCCAAAGAAAGTTGCTCGGCCGTTGGAGGGGAATTCAATTTTTTTCTCATCTCCCTCAAGAAGTACAGTCTTTGTTGAACCATTCATAATATGCTGTTGATGGGTCAATGGGAAGTCATCGCTGATGTGGGTACCAAGGAGCTTGAAGATTTCTATCCTCCCTTTTCTTTGTGGCGAGCGGAGGTGGGGGTGGTTGGTCTAAGAGTCGGTGTGCAGTTGTTCATGAATTTGCCAATCGTTGTTGATCAGATCCATAGTGCTGGGCTACGAAAACAAAATGTGTCAGTTGTCTGTTTTTTTTAACTGACCATTTTGCACCGCTGAATCAAAAAGTGGCATGGGTATTCTTCCGTCAGGTCAGGTTTTAATGCTAATTTGATTTTGAAAATTGAAAATCTTATGACTGAATCGATTACGTTTTTGTGATATAATGTGTTGATTTTCCTAAAGGTGTCTCCTCCCAATAAATTTTCTCGGAGAAAATCATGTCTTGTAACAGAATTTTGAATTACATTTTACTTCAATTTCTGTCAAGTGAATAACAGAAATTGGTCAAGGGAAGCACATGTGAAGTGAACGTTACGTCGTCATTCAGGGCATGAACTTCTGTCTCTTCAAACATCTTGAGTGCTCCGCAGTAACAGTAATCAGCCATTTTGACTGCATCCCAGTGTGCCTGATGCCTGGTCTCCATCTCTTTCATGTCCTGATGGAACCTCTTCCCCTGCTCATCACTCATTGATCACAGACTCTCAAGAAACTGAGCCATAAGTCCTCCATTTTGATGCTCATGTTGCATCCAAGTTTTCTGAAAGCAATCAGCATATTGGTGACAAGTTTGGCATCGTCCCTGGCATTGTTGTTTTCCAAGAAAGTTCTTTACGACCAGAACAAAAGTCTTCTGCTTCCAGTCCCACTTTGCTCTTAAAGTTTTTAAGGTCAGGGTCTCTGATGATCTGGCGGATTTGAGGACCATCAAAGATGCCAGCGTTCAACTTCTATACGGTTAATCCTGGAAAAGATGGCACGAGTGAGTGTAGCAGCCACCATCCTTTTCTAGAGCTTTTGCTGAACTGTTTATTGGGGGAAGAGTATCTTGTCTTTGTCTACCAGAGGAATGTTGATGACGTTCCTTACTCTGCAAGGCACCAATTCCTTCCGCACAGGCCAGTCCTTGTTTGTGTAACGCCGAGTGGTGTCCCTGCTATCCCACATGCACAGAAAGCATGAGTACGTGGAGAAGCCCGACTGTTGTCCCAACAAAAAAATTCATCATTTTCAGGTCAACATAAATAAGACACTCATGCTCATCATAAGTATTCTCCAGCACATACTTCCAGAGGTGTCAAGTAAAAAAGTAAAAATACCTTAAGTTAAAATGTGGGGCATCAATACTTTAGTTATTTTTCAGCATAATTTGTACTTTTACTCCTTATAATTTTCATAATTTTTAGTGTAGTTGGATGAAAAGTGTCCACCTTATTCCTATGCCTCATTAGCCTGAGCACGAATTATGTCCGCGACTCCTGCTATAGCGAACCACCGTTTTGTTCACACGGAAACTGTGAGAGTCCACTCTCTATGTCATGTGCGCGTGTTGATAGAGGACCAAAAAGCAGGGAAGCAGGACAACTAAGCAGAACAAAATTTATTGACAAAAACACTTGCAGGGGTACACTACCCCTGCAACAAAATCCAAAGCACAAAGCCCTGAAAATCTACAATAAACCAAAGTAACAAACAAACAAAACCCATGACAGTTAAACAAAACAACGTGACAGCAACAGCGACAAAATCCCATGACAGTAACACGACGATCTAACAAAGACTGATTGAACACAGGAAACTAAATACAAGGAAACTGACGAGACAACACGCAACAGCAGGACAAAACATAAAGGGTTGAGGGAGCTCATTGGTTGACAACAGCTGGACATAAAACCAAAAGAGGAAGGCAAAAGCACACAAGGAAACAAAACCAAAATGTAATCTCAACAAAAACAGAATCATGACAGTAATCCTCCCTCAAAGGACGGTTCCCAGATGTCACAAAGTCACCCAGTGGCGGCCGCAGAAACGGGTGGCAGCTGGAGGACGTGCGCCGCTGGAACGGATGGTGGCCGCAGGACGTGTGCCCCCGAAACAAGGACGGATGGCGGCCGCGGGTCATGCGCCAAAGGGACAGGAATGAGTAGCGGTTGCAAGATTTCTGTATGGTGTTGATGCAACACCAGCATTCTGTTTCTAACACTGTCTCCAAACTTTTAACACCGCCGATTTGCAGAGTTCAGCTCGTGTCAGGAATTCCTAATATGGCGCTACATGCATGGGTTGTGTGTATGTCATGTTGGAAAAGCAAAATACCGAGCATGTCAAGGAGTGTACATATACGACATGTGTACTTCAACATAATGCTCTCATGGTTATTGTCATGCAGCACAGGACGTTCCAAGAGCGGACGTAACTCAACAGAGGAGCGCTTAGTGTGAAATGGAAACTAGTATAAAACATGAGGCCGTGTATTAAATCAATAGTGATGTAGCAGGGAGGTCAGGTAGAGCAAGTATTACTGGATTCCTCTCGTCATTGAAGGTATCATCAGTCTTTTGAGCATCGGCTGCAGTCCTGACTGTGCATTGGTAATCCAAACTGCAGAAAACTCATTCCAGTAAACAAATCACATGTTTTCCTGATTCGATGTCGGGAACAGATTTGCCCTGCAGCACACGACAAGGCAAATATTCAGTCACCAATCGATATAAATTCATTCTGGATACAAGAGTTTCCCTACATAAGTGTATCCAGATCATTTCATTTTGATGTTTTTCTCAATGTCCTAATGTGAGCTTCATTACCTAAAATGGGATTGAAGCAACATGTCCGACAACTCAGCACTGTTTCAGGGTCTTACCTTATGTCGTGTTGCTTCAGTCAGATTCTCTGCTGGCCTCACCCGAGTGGGAGGTTTTTTTTTTTTTTTGTGTGTGTGTTTTTTTGTATAGAAGACAATGCTGTCAAAATGATTCCTGTTCAGACAGACCTGCCAAAAACAAGTGAAAGTGTTGTACCGTAATTAAAAAAAAAACCTCATCACGAAGTGCATTTCTATACAATACAATTCACTCCAATTCAGATGTAGTGCGATTTGACTGAAATAGTTGGAATACCTTTCATGAAACAGGCTTTGAAAAAAAAGCTGAATGAAACAAACTGTTGTCACTCCCATGTGTCATTTTGAATGTTGTGAGGATGAAACTTCCGTTGTCGCGTGACAATACTCGCCAAGAATACGTCGCAGTAAATAAACAAATTTGATTGCACGGTTCGTTTTGAACCAGGGCCGAGCTTTCGCGGGCGGCCTGTCCTGACCCATTTCTTTCGTACAGAAAGAAAGTGGGCTTGGCCTGCCAGACTAAAGTGGCGCACCATTGTTGTTTTTGGTTGTGAAAGCACACTTGAATTACTAGAATGAGCAACCACTCAAAGCAGGCGAGCATATGAGCGCGGAAACAATAATTCAGCTTTAGATTTTTGGGAAGGTTTGCACTTTGGGGCTCCTCCACTTTGCACAAACACACGGCTGAAAACAACGTCATCAGTTTGTTGAGTTTTCTTACAGACTGGGGTTTCCTCCCTTGAAGTGGAGGCCATGCTACTGAGACACTAACAAAAAAAAAGAAAGATTAAGGATGCATTCTTGTGATCGGAATCCCTGATTTGTGGCAGATGTAGATTAGACCATCCAGAAATTACATCATTACTAAACACCTCTGCCAGGAGGAAAACACACAAATTGTGCGTGTGCATGTCTGTGTGCATGTGCATGTGTGTGTGTATTTGTGCGCGATGTGTGCATGTCCGTTTCTGAGTGTAAAGGGTTGGACTGGGGGGAAAGGCATAACGGTGTTAATAGTGTGCTGCTTAAACTATTAAGAATGTATTTATCAGTGGTCCACTGAAGAAGTAAAAATTGCTCCGTCAAAGGGGTAACTCAATAACAAATTTATTGCCGATGTGGATTTATTCTCACACACATCTTGTCTGCAAAATTATTTTTTTATGAATAAAAAATGACATCATTAAATGAGTGTGTTAAGAAAATTAATCATACATTTAAGTGTGTGAGCGTATTTTCCAGGCCAGTAAAATCCAATGTATAGAAATATTGACCAATATAGAAAAAACTTCGAATAAACCACATCGCTTGGACTCATTTATGTTGAACACTTGTGCGCATGTACGGTGAGTCGTGCTGCAAACGGAATTTCCCTTGATGTCAATAAAATCTCAACCATGTTTGTGCAGACATATTTTGCCGAACATGCTATACTTCACAGGAAATGTATATATTTGGACATTATTGTTTGCCATCTTGACAAGACTACTGATGTTGTGTTTACAGTTGTAAATTTGATCCGCTCCTCCCGCCCTCCCCCTTCATTGAGTGTTACTGAATTATTGTGTGAGTGGGGGTATATTTTTCCTGCGTCTGTGCGCAGGTCGCTTCAGTATCGGTCTCACCCATCCTCCACCCACCCGCTCATGTGTTCTGCTCATTTGTCTTGAGTTTCATGACTTGTCAGAGTGGGGAGATTTACACTTCAGCTTTCATTAGTTCATTGTTGCAGCGGTGCTCTTGCAGGCATAGCCATCATTTGTTCTTGAATGGAGAATGTTTTGAGATTTGAAAAAGATATTCAAAGGCCTTGTTTTTGCGAATGAATCCTTCGAAATTGTTGTGGTAATCAGGATGGATCAAAGGATCATGCAGTCTCATACTAACCCCACATTTTACAATCCTGCTGGGATTACATTTGCAACGCATTAGTTTTGGGTTTTTTTTTTTTTTTTTTTTAGTCCCTCATTTTGCACTGGAATCCATCTTCATGTGAAGCTGTTTCAAATGAGTTCACAAGTTTGACGTTCCTCCAAAAGAATACAGCCGGCCATGATGTCTGCTCACCAGAGTTTGAGCTGCTCTGTATTTATAGATTAGATGCAAGAGGCACAAACACTTGCAGTGCCTTATCTGCTATGTACCGAATGTGAACTATGTTAGCCTCTGTGCTCTCCTGAAAAAAAAAAAAAAAATCATAATATATTTATGTCGCTCTGTTGAACATGTATTCAGGTTTGGTTGTAAAAAGACAAAGATACTTTGTCATTGTACAAAACTGAACAACAAAATTAAGGTAACCAGGATACGCTCTCAAAAGGTAATAAAAAAAAAAAAATCAAATACAATTGCACATCACTCACACATCAACATTATTTAATTTACCACACAGCAACACTAATCTATTTGCATAGGCCATCATATACTGCACATGAATTTGGTCTCATGATTCGTGTATAAGGTTGTTCACTGTGGTTATGGCTGTGTGGTAGAAACTGTGTGTGGGTCCACATGTGTTTATGGAACTGAATCTTTTTCCAGATGGTAAAGTTCAAAAAGGTTGTAGGCAGGGTGAAAATGATCTTTGAGGATGTTCAGTGACTTCTGCTGGCAGTGAGAGTTCACCTTAGCTCCGCTCTGCTGTGGGAGCTGGTCATGTGTTGAGTTTTTGTACTTTTTTTTTTTTTCTGCTAGTGAGCTTATCCTGCCCCACGTCAGGATGCTGTAAATCAGAGCACTCTCAGTAGTGCAGTGGTAGCATTGGACGTAAGCCAAGGGTGTGATCGATTAATCTTACTGAAAAGATTTGCTGTTTTAATTAGACAGACCAGAATGGACCATGTACACAAACATGTACAATCGGTTGCACATGACTAAAGTGTGCTAAACCGATGTCATTTTCTCGTGCTTTTATCAAAAATAATCAAATAACAAGTGTTACTTTAATACAAGTGTGTGCAACCGAAAATCTAGTACTTTTTTTTTCAGCGCAGTATCTTGTCCAAAGTCAACTGGGATAGGCTCCGCGTCCCCCGTCCCCCTATTGAAGACAAGGCAGAGAAATGGATGTATTGGATGTTTTTACAGCTCTGCTCATAAAATGAAGGAAAGTGTAATCATCATAGTGTAACTGCAAATCAATCACGCCTCTGCATCCTGTCCAGTTAGGAAGCAATAAAAATTGAGGATCAATTTCACCTGCTGAGTGGGGGACAGAAAACAGATGGAAAGGCAGATAGCAAGACACTCCTATAGGAATGGTATTGAATTTCCCTCTTCCATCCTTTTGCATTTTTTCAGTAACCCTTGCCACTAATAGTAGTCTGAGGCGGCTTTTGTAGCCAACAGATGTTTTTTTTTTTTTCACGTAGTGAGTATTTTAATGCCATGACAGCAAGAGAGGTTGAGCCCTGCGTCGGATGACAACACACCAGCACCATTTTTTTTTTTTTTTTCACGTAGTGAGTATTTTAATACTCACTACGCTTCTTCAAGGTGGCACATACGCAAACACACACACACACACACACACTCACACACGATACGCATTTGTGTATCTACCAGCAAAATTCAAGCACATTGAAGAAATCCAGTACGAGGAAACATGCCATTACAGCAAGAGAGGTTGAGGCCTGCGTCGGATGACAACACGCCAGCAGCAGGACCGCGATTCGCTCTCCTGTGTCCAAAAGAGGAACAGGACAATCAAATTGAACTCCGGCAGGCTTCTTGTGTTCATGTTTCTGGTTTCCTTCAACTATCAAGAACAGACTTGTCAAGAGAGTTGTCGTGGTACCGAGAGACGGGCCATTGCACCAGGGGAGGAGGAGAGGGGTTGTTGAAGGGTAACAACCCATCAGCGGGACTGTTCCGCGCGTCTTTGTGCAGAAAGGAACAAGCTGAGCAAATTGATCTCCAGGAGGCCACTTGTGTTCAAAAAACACTTGTCATGAGCACGTTCCTGTTCACCGCGAGAGGTGGTGGGTGGCCATAGCATGGGAACAACCCAGTAGCTGGACTGCTGATGCTCCTTTTTGTGAAGAAGCATTACACCAATCCAATTGAAGGTGAAATGGCAATCGAAGGTGAAATTGCAAACAGAAGCGAGAGACAGAACCAAACAACAGACCAGATAACATCCCTTGCGCAATCACTAATGTGTCAGTAGATGTCTGTCATGCAGGAAAAGTTCATCACAGTCAAACTGCTGGAAGACAGATGGGGGTACATAACATATACAGTATACACCAATATAAAACCAATTAAATTAATTTGATTTTTTATATTATATTTAAAAAAATCCCATTAAAACCAATCACATAGTATTCCCAAGAGCAAGAACCACGAAGGAAAAAAAAAAAAACCAAAAAACAATAAATCTTTCACCACACTAACAGGACACTGTGCGGTATGTGTCAGGTTTCACAAATCGAGACAAAAGACTTGCATTCAAACCATATCATCGATATACTCACGAGTAAACAAAAACTAAATGTCCTCTGAGCGCAGGATATGGCTGATTGAAGCACTCTTTCTATGAGTTTTGGATTATTACGGCGCCATATTTCTATGAAGACGCCTCCGTCTCCACACTAAAACCACAGGCCTGTTTTCCATTCTGCGCTCCGATTCATGACTGGCCACAGCAACTCCACCCATCATTGCACTTTATATCAGAAGGTGGGATGGGCACCTTTATCTGTACGACGAGATATGCACGGGCTCGTTTTCATTTACTAGGTCTTAAAAGGCAACATGCTACCATACTCCAGCACCTTATTAAACGGATCTCATAATAATCACTCAACATGCTGTGAATTGGGAATTTCTCCATTGCGAGACGAATAAAGGTTTTTCTTGTCTTATCTTATCTTACATGCTGAAGTGATTGTTTACTGCTCAAAGTTCCCCGTGCAGACTAAGAATAAACTGGGGAAAAAAATGCTTTCAGATTTTTTTTTTTTTGGCTGCATCTTTCAGGAAAAATCTATTTACAATCCCTAAAACACACAATTGTTACCATGCACTTTTTATGTATGATCAAGAAGTATTCTGCTGTTGAATGTAGATTTTTTTTTTTTTTTTATGTTTACCATTTATATTTTTGTTACATTTTATTGTCAACAAAATTGAAAATGAGAGCTTGCACTCAATGATGTTTTGAAAATGAAATAAAGGTTTTAAATGAGATATGCAAATGACCCAATTGCCAATTCAGCGAACCACAGATCATGGAACACATCCAACACAACTACCGACTCCACCCTTCCCCCAATCTACACTGCATTGACCCAGACTCCAGAGATGTAAATCCAACTGCTCTAAATTGGCTGCGTTATTGGAACGATGGTCTGTAGCCCGTTGATTTCCAGCATGTGACTTGTGAGTTTCTGCCCAAACTGTCAAAAACAGACCCCGTGGCTGGATTTCAAATGTGAATGGAAATCTGATTTCAGCCAAACTGTCCAAGACAGACCCACGTGTGGAAGGAGATAACCCAGGACGCTGTCATATTAGGAGCCTGTCCAGAAATCGCGGGACAGTCTTACAAAGGCCCTACACGCTAGTCAGCCAGTCACATTCTGAGTTGCCTCGAGGAAGTTCGCAAACGCTGGATCAGCCTGTGACTAAAACTACATAATCAATAACAGATTTACGACAACATCATTTCATTCCTCAAAATGTTGGATGTGCCATTTTAGCATCCCTTTGATGTCTGAGGAGTGTGCATCAGTGCAAACTGCTGATTCTAATCGTGCACATTCTCCTGACACGATTCACATGGCGGCTCACTCATCTGTCATTTGCTAACTGCTTATCCAGTGCAGGCCTGCATGAAGTTGGATCCTCTCCCAAGTGACCGCTCACTGACAGTCAGACTTTTTTTTTAAGTCTGTGGAGTAAAGCTAGAGTAGGTAGGTACTTGAGTAGCTACTGATTAATCTCCTGCGCTCAGACGTCCCCAGCTCACAGGTTCTGCCTAAATGTCTGATTTCCATCTATTTTCCAAAACTCGCACACTGTTTTACTTAAACACAGCTCCATCTGAGTCTCATCACCGTACCAACAAATGTGTAAGCATGATCTCACGCCTTCTACTATGAAATGGGATCCCTTTGCACATAGAAACATGATTTTGCAGCACGGAAATGTTTTGCTAACCTTTTTACCGCCAGATTACAAAATGAGATATTTATTCAATATTTAATTATTATTTTTTAAAACTCAAATCATTTGATAAAGCTAATTAGAAGCATCCTTTCCTATGGTGTGCTGTTTATAAAGCAAGATATTCGATATATATGTCTTCCTGTAGATTTTACATTGACCGTAGGTACAACAGTCAATTTAACTATTTACTTTGTACAAATAGTGTTGTTAATCTGCACACACAAAAGTGATTCAACAATTCGCTGGCTTTTACAAACACTCAGCGTAAGTGTGACAAAACGTTGCTTTTGTTATTTCAGCTTCAGCCACTTTACAAGCAACACCCTCCACCACACGGCCAGGAATTGCCGTTCCAGGTTTGACTTTGTTTGTTTCAAGTGTGTTTTCCTGTGGTTTTCCAAGTCCTTCTTTGCATTAAATGGAACGTTGGGCATAAAGAATATTTTGGTAACTCTGGGAATACTTAAAAAAAAAAAAAAAAAAAAGGAAGCACAACTCTGTGCTTGTTTTGGCAGAGTTGAATAGAGGTTTGGATTTGCTATGCTTGTGGGGGAGGAAGAAACTGCGGGGCTGTTCAGTATGCAGGTCATGTGTGCAAACTCTTTAGCCTGTTAAATTTCAACACGTTAACCCCCGCCCCCCATTCAATTGTTTTGAGGGGTACTTGCTTTCTTTATTAAGTACATATCCACATGCATTTTATTTTGCAAAACGTTTGACTATGCTCTTCCTGACTTGTTTACTTGACGTCCCCTCCACAGAGTTTTCAAATTCTCTTACAAAATATTGTACAAGCACGATGGACAACTGGGCAAGCTCGTTAGACTTCAGTGTCTTTCACCTGTTGCAAATAACTTGGGCAGCTGATGTGGCACACTGGCCATAACCACCTTTTAACCAAGACTGCCCCCATCTGGCTAAACTAAAGAATCACAACGTCTAGAATTGCTTTTCTTTGAGCTAGCATGATTTCGTTATTTCTGTCTTATGTTCGTTATTTCTGTCTTATGTGGGAAGAACCCCATTGGAAAAAAAATACTTGAAATAAACTCGAACAAGTCACAAGAGCAAAAAATAAATAAATAAATAGAAAAGAAAAAAACATGGAAGTTTGTGTGTGACATCGCTATTTTATAATAGCATGTGTGTAATATAAATCCGTTTTTTGTTGAGATGTTTGTTTTGTTTCCATCCATTTAAAGAGTCATTTTGATTTATTGCTGTAGTTTTCTTTTATTTTGTCCAATCTATGAAAAAAAAGTCATGTTATGCCGCTTGATGAACTCTGATTCACAATTATAGGACGATCTAACATAGAAGGATTGAAAAGCATCGTCACTATGATCGCGTCAACGGACCATCTCTATATCTGTCCGCGGAGACCTTAGCTGAGAGCAGCTACAGATTCTCGTGTGCTGGTTCGTCATCAAAATCGTCAGGATACCAGAGTGTCACATCAAGTATGTCAAGAAGCCTGAGAAGAGTCAGGTAAGTCAGTCTCCAGGCTACCACTTTGTCCAGTTCCAGGAGCACAAGCAAAATGCTGCTTCACCCTGCCCGTCCAAAACAAATAAACAAACAAAAATGGAATGAGAGAAGAGGACAGCGTGAGCTGCGCAACCGGTCAGAGATGCCCTTTCAAGATTAGCAAAGGCAGTACACTCAAAGCTTAAAGCTAAGCATTGCTGATCTACTGTTGGATAGTTTTTGGTTGGCAACTGCAAAGGAGTTCCCATTTTTCGGGCCCTTTTAATTTTGAGCACATGCCCTTCCAAAAGGTATCGCCTCTGGAACCAAGCAATTGTCACAAAAAGCACCCAAGGTCAATAAATAGTAAATAATTCTTGAGTGTTCTCACTGTCAACATTAGTGAAAAATAATTTATTAGAATTGTCATCTTTTAAAATGTATTTGTAGTCTTATTAACATATTCTTTGACGTATGGGGCAGAGGTATAAAAGACATAGAAAAACTCTTTCATCGTGACAATGTTCATAAAAAGACAATTTAAAGCCAATAAGAACCCTCATCTAATTCTAAATAAATAAGTGCCATTTAGTTGAAACACAGTGTTTTGTTTACTGGCTCAGACACATATGTCTAGAGACAAAGGAAATAAAGAACAAAGTCCCACAGGGTGCGCATGTGAATCCACTCAGGATGAAAGGTTATCTACCCCGCTGCCTCTGTCAGCGGGGTCTCTCTGATGAAGATGTGGATCCGTGACCAGTTCCTTGTCGGGCTCGAGACTTGTGTTACTGGTCAAATCATTCCCATCTATCTGTTTCGGGGAAGTTTGCACAGTGTCCGTGGAGCTGCAGGAGTCTGACATGTATTCTCTGGCTGTGTCAAAAGATTCAGTCAAAATACTCTCACTGTAAGACTGTGAGCTGATAAATGCAGTGGCGTCACCAATCTCTTTGTTCGTGTCACGAGGAGGAATGTAGTCATGCTGTCTTTCGTTAACTTCATTCAGTCTTTCAGCGTCTCTGTGGGTATCCACTTGTATCCCAGAAGTTCTTGGGAATGGGTCACTGTCACAGTGTTCACTTGTATCCTTTCCAATTTCCTCGTTCACAGCGGAGTCCTCTGCCCCTGACAGAACTCTCTTCAAGCTATTGGCTCTGTCTCTGTATAGCTGGCATAGCTGAGCGTCAGGCATGTGGTTGCCGTGGATCTCCGCTAACTTCATATACACTACGTATAGAGCCTCGGGGTTTGCTCGATCCTCCAGAGCGGCTGCCAGAGCGAGGTGGAAATAACCCAACGCATCAAACGAATCCTGGAGAGGAAGCGTATAGCCTTAGAATTGAAATGCATCATGTTTTACTATCAGAATTCAAGTAACAAACAAACAAAAATGAAAAGCTTGTTAAGCTTAATGAGGGCGTGGACATGGTATTGCTGGGATTTTTTTTTTTTGTTGCACATATCCTCAAAGGTGTTATTATGACTGGGTAAACAGTAATGAAAAAATTGAAATTGTACACTACTAAATCCCTGACACTCCCGAAAGACTGTTAACTGCGTGAACAATTCACAATGAAACTTACAGTGAATGGAAAATTTTTAAAATAATATCCCTCATGGCAGACTTAGGTGGATAAAGAGGTCCTGTGTTTAGTGTACGAGACTAAGCTAGTGTCAAGTCGAATCAGATCATCCATCCATCCATCCATCCATTTTCTGATCCGCTTTATCCTCACAAGGGTCGTGGAGGGTGCTGGAGCCTATCCCAGCCGTCTTCGGGCAGTAGGCGGGGGACACCCTGAACCGGTTGCCAGCCAATCGCAGGGCACACAGAAATGAACAATCAACCGCGCTCACACTCACACCTAGGGACAATTTTGAGTGTTCAATCAGCTTGCCATGCATGTTTTTGGAATGTGGGAGGAAACCGGAGTACCCGGAGAAAACCCACGCAGGCCCAGGGACAACATGCAAACTGCACACGGGGAGGCCGGAGCTGGAATTGAACCCGGTACCTCTGCACTGTGAGGTCGACACGCTGAGCACTGGACACCGGGCCGCTCATCAGATCATGTAATGGCCAAATGTCACTTTTTTCCAGGGTTTCCAAATGGCTATCATGTAGCATTTTAAGGTGAAGGTGATTGACTTGGCCGTTGAAAAGTGAGCCACTGCACAAGAGTTTGGACTAAGTCGATCGATGACAGATCTTGTTTTCGCTTGCATTGGTATGGCTTATGTGTCTGTTATTTATTTTTAATTAGTAGGTGCGACCTAAGGCCCTGTGAATGCTCGTCCTTTAGCATTTGCACAAAGGAACCATTGGTGTGATTGTCCCTGTCTTACCTTGAGCTTGTGCAGAGTGAGATTTCCCAGCCTGCAGTAGACCTGAGTGAAGTAGCGAGCCTCCTTTGGGTGCTGCATGACGGGCGGACAGAGCGACAGGGACTTCAGATAGTAGTTCTCAGCCATCTCATAGTGCTGAAGGTTGTAGTAAACTGTCGCCAGTCGGTGGTAGGCTGTCCGCTCATTTATATGCACACCTGTAAAAACGATAACGGAGTCGCTGTTCTGAAGTTGTAAGCCGATTGTAGAGTCAAGCTCCGTGGCCTTGCTCACACCTGTTTTGTTAGCTATTTCAACAGCTAGCGTAGCGTATTGCAGAGCCTCTTCTTGTTCCCCTTGTTCCATTAACAGCTCTGTTAGTTTACTCAACAAGCGGAACTCCGAATGGGTGTCTCTGATACTTCGGGAAAAAGGTAAACTGCCATCCTTTAACAAAATAACAAAAAATTAATGTCAACACATTTCAAAAGCAACTTTTGAACAAATAGTGTTTTCCACTTGCCCTGTAGAAAGGTAATGAGGCCATCCTGTTCCTGTGTCCTTTAAAATAGACGTCCCCCGCTTCTTCATAGATGCTCATCGAGAAATGAGGGTCGTTCATTCTCAGGGCTGTCTTCACTGCTGCCTGTCAATCAATCATACTTAAGGTTTGTACAAAATAAGACACTGATCCTGACGATAAGCAACAGCATAGTCGTTTGCATCCATCCATTATCTGATGCGCTTATCCTCACAAGGGTTGCGGGCGTGCTGGAACCTATCCCAGCCGTTTTCGGGCAGTAAGCTGCAGGGTACACCCACACTATAAATGATGTTAATATGTTGCAGTTAGCTTATGTTTTGTTTTTCAAGCGAGGAAGTGTAACAGGTAGTCAAAAATTACCATTGTAATTTTTGAATTGGAATAAAATATTTTTCGACAACGCTTAATGTGTGTGTGTGTGTGTGTGTGTGTGTGTGTGTGTGTGTGTGTGTGTGTGTGTGTGTGTGTAAATGGCATATATGTCTTATCAGACTTAAAGTTGCGTGTGCGCATTTATTGAGCAACAAAATGTGATGGCCACCCCTGCGCCGAAAATCCCCCTCTCAGATGTGTTCTGAAATTGTCAGCATCCCTAAATTTCTGATCCTAGCAGACATCATGCAATCATAAATGTATCGTTACCAGCCCTTCTCACCTGCAGGTACATGTCAGCCAGCTCATCCTCGTGGATGAGATAATAGATCCTTCCCACCTGCAACCAGGTCTCAGACTCTTCTTCTCTCTTGCCCAAATCAATGGAAATCCTCAGGCTTTGCTTGGTGTAATCCAAAGATTTACGAGACGATCTGTACCACACGTTTGAAAACTGGTTTGGTCGTTTGTCATCAAAAAACATGTTGTGAAATGCTGAATTTGGATTCAAACTCACCTTTCGGTATTTAGTGAGAGGTAGAGGCTGCTTAATATTTCAAGGTACTCTCCTTCGAGTCTCTTATCCTTCAGCTCTCTGGCTACTGACACACAGTGTTCATAATAGACGATGCTTTGTCCGTAAAGCAGCAGGTCGGAATAGAGCCGACTCAGCACCTTCGCCACCACTAACTGACCTAGGCAGGGATTACAGCACATTTTTAATGCAACATATTTAACGCTGTGACTGTCAAGTTTTTTTCGCCACTAGAGGGTGTACAAAGTACAATTAGGGTCACGTTGACGTTTGTGTTTATTCGTCAAACTTACTGGGCAAATTTCTAGCATGCAGCGCAATCAGAAGTCCCATTTCATAAGAGGCCCTGATTTGGTGACTCTTCCCCCTGTCTTTGTAACTCCTCCCCAGCCAAAGGAAGGTCTGCACATGCTCTTCATCGGTGGGGCTCTCCCAGAGTCCCAGAAAAAGTTGCAGAGATCTGGAAAAACAACTCGTGTCAAATACTAGAATACAGTTGCAAAGGACTACTTAGCTGTGAGATAAGTCTGTTGGAAATTTCAACCGGCAAGATCTTGAGAAAAGTCAACAAGCTTTTTCTTCTACAATAGAAATACAATAGACATTTGAACATGTGACAGAATTGTTCTTTATTTTGATTTGACCAAGAGGCATGTGAGAGAGACAAAAATCTCGCAATTATATATCCTGATAACAATATCAATCCGAATTAGTGGTGCCAGGAACAAAATTAGCACATTTTCCAATAACGACGAACCTAGTGCTTTACTTTTCCCAGTTAACTAGTCAGACTTCAGCTACTCCTCAAAGTCTTGTAAGCTTACAATGTAGCATTACATATTTACTCCAGATTACAAATAGTTTATTTCTGAATTTTTACTGGCGAATTTCAAGCCACCAATAGATTTAGTCTTGCCACATATAACCAATGAAATTGCCCCCATCTCTCTGCTGAATGGCTACTGACTCCCACCTTCATTGGCAATAGATGGCAGGCGCTATCACAGGCGCACAGCGAATCCGGCTCCCTAAAGTTCATCACTGTGACCACTTCTTTGCAATTATCTACTTTTTATAACGTGGAGGGAGGGCCATGGCTAATAAATGGCCAAATTTGTCTTCAGGGCTACATTTATGTGTTGCAGCTTCTAATCAGGTGAGCTTTGTAGTCTGGAAATTACACTTCTTTGTTGAGTAGCACTAAGGGGTGTATAATGACCAGTTGCACAGAATGAAGAAATGCAATTCAAGACCCGAGTGAAATTATGACTGACTGTTAAGATATTGTGGTGGATTTCATCATACTCTACAACTATGTTGGGGTGCTTGTCGGCTGCTTCCTTTTACCTCATATATCTTTCTGAGTGCTAACAATATGACATTTGCCCTCTATGTACTGAAAGTACTGTGTTCTCTTCACTGTACCTGTCTCTATTGCATCATGAAGTAGGGTATCTGACCTGACCAAGAAACGTTCTGCCAGTGTCGACGCCCCAGTATCCAGTGCCAGGCAGCCCAGGTTGGCCAGTGCCAGGGCCTGATTCCTCTGGTTTCCACTTTCCCGGGATATCACCAAGGCCGAGTGGAGTTGCCAGCCTGCCTCTGGTATGCGGCCTTGCTGCCTCAGACACAAAGCCAAGAGGTTGTGGATGACACCTCTTTGAGTGGAGCTATCTGATCCCTGCCAAGTGGTTGAACATGAAAACAAAACATAAGTACTCTTCAACGAATAAGCAAAAACAGAAATGAGTTTCGAGTGTTTTTATACCTGAAGCGAGACAAGCAATGGTTGGAGGACACCGTGAGCCTTCTCAGCTTGGCCTGTTAATACCAGCAGCCAGCCAAGCAGCACAGAGGCCTCAAAGCCTTCCTCCTCATTGATGAAGCCTCCAGTCTCCACCGCTCGTTGAGCACAGCACACAGCCTTATCAAGGGCGCCATACTGCTGGTAAACTGAGGCCAAGCCCAGACATAGGTCTCTCTGCGGCTTTAAGTCCCCCTCTTTCTCAGCTATAGCCAGCGCCTGCAGGAGGTAAACCACAACCTGGGCAGGGAGCAGGGAGGTTTCCTCCTTCCAAAACGGGTTCAGGCGAGCAGAGTTTCTGATAAACCTCTCAATCCTCTGGAAGGCGTCATGGAGCGAGTGGTCTTGTCTTGAATCAAGGCTCAGAGAAGCCAGCACCAGATAAGGCATGTATTTACGGTGATAGAGCAAGCTCAAAAGCCAGTTGAGGTCCAGAGGTGCTATCGCAGATCCGTCGTTCGCCGAGAGACTTGAGGAGAGGAATTGTAAGCGCTCAACAAAGGGAAGAGCGTCATCAGGCTTCCTTAGAAGTAGGAAGAGGCTGGAGATAAGGTAGCACACACGGGCCTCCAGATATTTATCCCCCGTTACCATCGACCTCCTCAGAAGCAGTTTCAGCAGCTCGATTTCATCAGAGGACGTGTAGGTATGTTTGGGAAGACAGAGAAGCACGGCGCTGGCCTTTTCCAGGGTGAGGGGCAGCTTGTCTGTCATACGCTGCTTCAGGTAGATGGCTGTGAGATTGGTGAGGAGAGCGATCAACAGTGGTGTGTCACGAAAACTGTCCACTTGAACACTCAGAGCTTCCTCGTAGTATACACGAGCCTAAAGTAAAAGGGGAGAATTTTGATCAGAAATGATCCATGAACAGATTTTTTTTTTTTCAATGGATAGCAATGTTTGCATCGAAATGATATTCAATACATCACCATCAGAATAGACCATTCTCAGTAACACAAAATGGAGTTCTATGTCACAACCTACCAGGCTAATAAACTAACTGTTGAATTGATACCTGCCTGTCAGTGTCAATTACAAGTGAGAAATATCATCTTTCATTTTAATACAACCCCTGTATTGGATCTCATTCGATTTTGAACTTGGACCCAAGGCAATTGTTGACATATGTATGAGTAGGTTTTAATCCTTTGAGCGAAAGACAATCAACACATTGATTAAAAACAAAAAAATGGATCAGGTGTATCTAATATAAATGACCTGCGATAGCTTGAGCTTCCTGGCGCAGAGTCTTCCCAAGAGGAAGCACGCTCGCCGACGTGCCCAATGCATTCCCATCCGCTTTGCACACTCCCTTACACCTTCAAGCTGACCGGAGAGTTCACTCTCGCCCTCCCCATTGAAGGTCACCCACAGGAAGGAACACTCGAGGTCATACAGTGGAAGGAAGTCTTCCTAGGGGAAAACAAACAAACACATCAAAAGAGTCTCCTTGCAGATGTTGATTCGTAAGTATAAAATGATGAATTGGAATCACATCAATTACGATGAGCATTATTCGGTGTTGCAGGTATCTGAAGTCACGTGTTGGCAACTTTTAACTGCAAAAATGATCACGCAACAATGAGTCATGCACGAGTCCGAGCCTGACAGCAAACAAAATACATTTTAGCTCCTGGCTTGCAAGTGATTACTGTAAGTGGGTGGATTGCACCTTTGCTGACCTGAAACTGGTCATGGTTTAGCAGGATCAACGTTGGGTCACTAATTTCTGACTCGTCCCCTTCCCAAATGTTTTCCTCCAAGAAGAGAGGCGGGTCCTCCTGGAATTCACCGAGTTCTCTGAATGTGTCATCTAAAGTGAAGGACAGGTGCTCTCCCTCCTCTGCCAGAGCATTGCGGGACTGACAGAGTGACACGCGAGGTGACGAGTGCGATAGCGATGGGCGGGGGGAGGAGTGGTACGGAGGCGTTCCGCCGCTTCTCTCCGACATGACACTCTGGCGAGTGCTTGAAGGAACCTTGTGATCTGAGAAGGAAGAAAGTTTATTTTAGGAACACAAATGAAGGGATTAAAAACAAAAAAAAAAAACAAAGCTTGTTTAATGCGAGTGCCACACAGCCAGTCCATCCACTTTCTCGACATTTTATCCTGTTCAGTGTGACAAGAGGCGCTGGAATACAAATCAAGTCATGGACCGGCCGTCTTTCAATCACAGAACCAATGTGATTGCGACCGTTAATGGGAAAAAGTACATCAAAGTTAGTTATGTGAATCACTACATTGTCAGAAGGGAACAAAATATGTGATTATCCATAGAATAGAGAAGGTAAGAAAAAAACGTTACTTTATATTTTATTCCTTGATGTTCTGGACAATAAGAAAACAAGCCAGCAATGAGGTGGGGTCAACTTGATTGTTTTTGTGTTTTGGCTAAACAGTACCGGTAAATTACTTTTAGGTGCATGGCAGGCATGAATGTTAAAATTTTAGAAAAAAAGAGTTCCCTCTGATAAATGAGAGTTGGCATAAGTGTAGTATTAATCCATTCAAAAATAACCGTATTCAACTGTAAGACACAAATAAGCAAGTGTTTACCACGTTTGGGCCGATTCCTGATATACATGAAGTCAGACTCATCCAGCCTGTCTGGAAACACAGATGGACATTGGGTTGAAGATTTCCTGCTCATAGCAACGACTGACACCAGAATATTTTCATTTTGTGACTATTTTACAAGCCGACGATGACGAGTCTTTCGAGCTTTACCTAGCCTGTATACAGAGCTGATGTCAGATGAGAAGAGCCTTTCCAGGAGGTTGCTATCACACGGCTCGGAGCTAAACAGGCTGGTTTGAGCCAGTGTGGCTCGCTCCTCCTCGGTCAGAAAGACCAAATGTCTTTGTCTGTACAAGAGAAACAAAGGCAGCATTCTCATTTGAACTGTGGTCCCGGTCTTCTCATGCTTTCCACCCCGTCTAGAGTGCAGTTATGCTACATGCATTAAGTTAGTAGGAAAACGCGAGGTAACTGGTGGTTTTATTCAGCATGAATTGCTTTGTGTGTGGAAATGACATACAGACCAATAACTTTCAAGCAATACTGCGCAATGGGATTGAATCTTATTTACAGCGACATGGTGTCCAGAGGCTGCACGTGGGCCTTGTGGATAAAGCCAGTCCGACCAGTGGAGGAGTGTTTTCCGATGAAGACGCCAAGGCCTCGCACCATGAGGCCTTGAATCTCGACAACGTCCCCTTGATTTAGCTGGAGCTCATCTTGAACCAACGGAATGTAGTCGACCACGGCTACACACGAACCTGTCACTGGCAAGTTTGATAGGGAGAAAAAAAAGATAAGAGTCGCCATAAATGACTTGGTGAGAATGGGAGTTAGTGTGTCACTGTGTGTGTGTGTGTGTGTGTGTGTGTGTGTGTGCGTGTGTGTGCGATTCTACCAAGTGGATGTTCAAATTGTGTGTGTGTGCGCGTGTGTGTGCGTGCGTGCGTGATTCTACCAAGTGGATGTTCAAACGCTTCCTTTTCTGTTGGCGAGCACCCTGCATAGCCCGGGTAATTCCTCAGGAACCACCTGACCGATGGGGACAATGGATTAGTAGACATTTATACCGCTTGTTTTTGCACATAGTCACACCAAGTCAAGATGAAGCAAGAATTTAATCTTGCATCATCAACTCGCGATCGAGAATATCAAATCGAGAAGGTCTTACTGGTAGAAAGGGTAGGGAAGCGGCTGAGTGGCGGTGACTGGCACTAGTCCATGATGGCCAGTGGTGAGCAATGTGCCCTCCCACATGTCCTCCTGTCCTGTGTCCTTCACCATGAGAAGATCATTCTTTTTGAAAGACAGCTGATCTTCATCATCCTCGTCATGTCTTGTGCACAGTGCCTTCGCAAAGAAAGATCCTGTAATAATGTTAATTCATGAATGCACACTCTAGACAACTCAAAATACAGTATATCAAGTGTTTTTATTCTGTTTTGTACCCCGTGTCCCTTAGACATGGATGATGGATGTTTAAAACCAACTCAATTAAGTTAAAGTAAATCTCGTCACAGTTTGGCAGCACTGCAGTCTTACTTTGCCCGAGGAACTATTTTTTATTCCTGAAATGATCCCTGCATAAGTCTGCAGTTCAACAAGTAGGATAGTAATAGCTTTGGTGTTAAAGCAAAGAGCTTACAATGTGGAAAAATATGAAGGTCACATCAGTCGAAATGCGACTGCTCAGCATCACAAAGGATTTATTCGGATGAGAATAACGTCTGGACATGAGAAGGCTTTACTATAGAAGCTATACATCCTACAACAGTAAAACTAATTTGCTTGACAGGAAACAGGCTTTATTATATTAATGAGGGTCAGGCATCTCCAGTTACAGCAATCAAATTTAACAGCTGTTATTATTGAAATGATAAAATTGCTAGTGTTGAAGCAAAAGACTGTATTGAAGGTACAAGAACCAACGTATTATGAATGACAGGTATATTTAGTGGACTTCAATCATTTACACTGATTGAACCCCTGCGTAAATAATTACAAGATTTAGGTCAATAACATACATTTGAAGTTATGAGAATTGCACCTGCATAGCATCTTTCAAATACCCAAGTAGGCTTAACAATAACTCATGAGGACAAGTAAACAAAACTTAGGTACACACTTTGTGTGTGTTATTTCCTACCTTCCTGGAGTAAAAGCTCAAGGTAGAGGGTGGCCAAATGATCCTCATCTATTTTTACATTAATCTCCAAGTCGCTGAGCAGTTTTGGCTCAAGCCAGAAGGACTGATCACACAGGAAGTTCTCCAAGCACCGTGCCACGTAACCTGTCAATAATGTCAATAATAACAGCCAGAATGGTAACACAAATCAGTGGACATCAATATTGACGAAAGTAACACTAATATACAAATTAGACTCAAAGAAAACTTACCTAATGCTAGATATGTCGAAAACTTCCAGAGTTCCTCTACAGTTTTAAATGTGAGGACAAAGCTGTCCTTCTCCGCATGAACAGACACCAGACGTGCAGATAGGTCCTGCAAGAACAAAGCCGAACAGAACAATCGACCAATGCATTTTACACTGCATTGTGTAACACCACGCACCTCACCGCGTTATTTAAAATGCAAATATTCACAGCCATGTTTCTGCAATCTATTGACGTCTATCATTTTCACTCACCTTAAACAGCTGGATGACATCTTTGCTATTGCTCTCCACTACTCGGAGTCGGGTGCGCAGGGCCTCCTGGAGAGCCCGGTCTGGGTCCTCACTGGAGCGTCGGCGTCCAGTGAAAAGGAGTGTAACTTCTGGACAGTACAAATTATGTCAATTAGATGTGAGAAAGAAAGAAAGCTCAGCCACCCCCCCCCCCAAAAAAAAGTTACTTATTGTTTCCATAAAGCATACTAAAAGTAAAAGCGGACTGGTTTTACTGCCTGCAAGCAAGATAAAAACTTTCAGAAGTTCATTAATGATTTTCTATGGCAGCTCATATTACAGCGAGATGCTCTGTGAGAACCACCATAGTCCCTTGAGGAATAACAATGCTATTAGATTGCTGACTGGACTCTCCGTGTGGCCATTTAAATCCATTTGAAAAGCAGAAACTGCAGGGTGTGATGGGCCAAAGATGCTGAGTACGTAAATTTGCCCTGTTTGTATGCTGCCTGACTAAAACCCCTTCATTAGTCAAAATATAGTACAGGTCTGTCAGTCCATTACGGTGAAAAGCAGGGGCACTAAAACTACAAAGCTTCCAAGAGTCACAAACAATATTTTCACCGTGTCAAAAGCTCCATTTATCGAGGTCATTAAGGCCACATGCAATACTACCGTAATATTCATTTGAAGATGTCCTTTTCTTTCAAAGCAACAACAAACTCAATTAAAATACCATACGGGATCTATTCAGTACTCCTGGTGTAAAGTGCAGCATCAGAAAATACCTGAGGAGCATTTTTCGCCCAGTGTCATCCGACTTCCTTTAAGAAATGCCTCTTTTCGCTTCCAGTAGTTATTTGGCTCTGGTTCTCCTTCACCTGACTCCACTACGGGGCCATCCTCCTCCTCACCTACGCCTGATAGAAGACCACATTTTATTAATACCACACCACGTAAGAACGGATTCAACGTTTGAAATTCACTTTTACAGAAAAATACAACCTGAATCTTAATTTTTAGAGTTGACATGTGCAGAACATACCCAAACAAAAAGGTAGACTTGCTTCTTTCCCCATAAAAAGTTTGTTTGTAACACCCCCACCCCTCCACCCCACCCCGATTCTCGCATCATCAACAATAGAACATGGGTGAGTGTAACCACAAAAAAACAGCTTTGGACCAAAAGGCGACAAAAACAAGCTTTTTGTGAAAAGAAATTGGTCGATCAGATAAAAGTAGACCTTTTTGCCTTTTTGCCACCTCAAACTATAAACCATATGGCCCTACAAACAAGCACATTTTAGCTGAGTTGAATTGAGAAACCCCACACTTGACGAATATAAATCAGTGCCAGTAAAGTACCGGTAGTTAGATTCCAGTTGACGACTATAAATGTCCATGGCAGTGAATTTTTCAGTTCTTGCAACTCCAAGTTGTTCCAATAATTTTGACCATCTCGAATGTACAGTATGTAATTGATATTTTCTGTTTCCTACTCTGCATTAAAGATGTGCGTCTAATATAAAGAAAGTAATGTAACGAATGTTATCTCGAGGGCGGTCAAGAGTGCTGTTCAAAGTGTGCTGCAATGACATGATGATCACCAAGGTTATCCTGATCCTGTCATGCATGACACCCCTTCATAGCTCACAGGATTTACCACTCCATTAGCTTCTATTAAATTGAAGTGTGTTTTGCTTTTTCTTTCATTTATGGTCATGCGCTCACAGAAGCACACGTACGCACACACACACAGTGCGAAACCTGCACCAGATGATCGGCGTTTCATCTGAATGTGACACACCTCCATACGGTCGTAGTAATCCTTCTCTGCATGTCTATCACGTCAAAGTCACGAATTAGTCCAAAATCTATTTGGTTCAAGGTTTATTCCACAGTGATTAACTTTTTTACACTTGCAAGATAGGGAAGAAGGCAAAAAAAAAAAAGCGCAACACACGACACTCACTTTCAGCAATCCTCCCTCTCTGACTTCCTCATACATTATGCCTCCACCATAAATTAAAGGGTGAGTAGTTTGTTTTTTTTTTGTTCTTGTTTTGCTATCACTGTCAGTCAGAGATGCTTAGTATTGCTAATCCAAATGAGGTCAGAGGATTCCCATGGTTTGTTCGATAAAGCAGAAAGAATGTACATGAACACTTTCTCAATGATTTGTCTGTTTGTTCCTTGGGGAAGTCTGTCAAACAAATATGATTATGAAAAGCGCAGTAAGCAATCTGCTGCATTACACAGGCTACCTTCAGTCATGATGTAATTTCCTGAAAAGTGTTCGTGGGTCCCCCCTAGAGTATATGCTGGTTCCCTCCACAAGGCATCCAGCTCAGCAGGAGATATATCTGTGAAGAGGAACGGACCATATCAGCGCTATTCATACAAACTGTTGCGTCTCAACAGGAAGGGATGGGACAGGTGATATTAACATAAAACGTTAGTAAGGAGGGTTTGGCTCGAGGGGATACGACAGCATTGAGAGCACACATCGGGTGACGTCAAAAGAATCCTCCCGACGCACACAACCAATGATTCCTGAGTGCGCACTCGTTTTCAGACAAACATTGAACAAATTACAGTCACAACTGCGCTTTCCTTAGTTTTCAACATGCTGTCAGTGCTAAGGTATCCTGCAAAGCTTTCACAAAGACACAATGGAATACACAACTTGGCCACACAATGCAACATGACATGATGTTGGAGAGGACAAGAGCCCATTCTCTTCCATCCCACGACACAAAACACAGCACCGACAGAACCACTGGGGCCACACTTGCAGGCGCACATGCTTCTAGAACATAAAAACACACCATGCCCTTCAATTTTACCTTCTTGGCTTAGTGTGTTACCCATGTTGCACATAGAACTATACTCCACGACTAGTCATGACAGGGAAGGGGGGGGCCAAGTGGGTTGGGACCGACCTGTGAAGGAGGAGAGGCACATTTTGATGAGGGGTCCACAGCAGGAGGAGTTGAGCAGTGGTCTGCAGCAACAAGACGCCATCTGGCCCAAGAAGCGGCAGCTCCCAGGGATCAATGCCATCCCATCAGTTCCCCTCCTGCCTCTGGAACAACAATTCACTCTCTTCCTCTCAGCTGGACAGGCCCGCTTCCCTTTCCTATTTCTGCACTCACATTCTTCTCCTGCTTGGTCTTTCCCTCCCCTCCTCAGTCAGGGTTGAATGTCCCTTCTTTACAAGCTGCATCTCTTCTTCCGTCTCTAGTCTGGCTCCACTCCGCAGTCCCACCGTATCGTTGTGTCCATCCACCTCCACCCACCAGCCTCTCTCCCTCTCCCTCGCCGTCTCCCTCTCTCTCTCTCCCTTTCCCTGCCCAGTCAGTGTGTGAGTGCACAAAGCACTCTTCAATTCATGTGTGTGTAGGGGTGGGGGGTTCCGACCTCACAGAGGTTTTCCCTCTGTCGTGTGTTTGGGGGTGGCGGTGAGGGGGGGAGGGGGGGTGTTAGGGGTGGACTGTTAAAATATGCTCAGAATGTGTGTCACAATAGAGACTGTGTGTGTCTTTTGTGTGAATTGCTGGGCTAATTGCTGATATGCACAGAAAGGCAAAGCCATGAAATGGCAGGCAGCAAGGTCAGAGCAAATGAGAGGGAAGAGCAACATGGTGGTATAGATAAAGGATCAGTTTATCCACGTCCCAAATCTCTTTGCCCTCTGATGAGTAAGAAACACACAAGGGCACAGTCATCCTGCACCCATAAATGAAGAAGGTGCATCATTGTTTGGGGCTCAGGATGGGATACAAATAGAGCTGCCGATTATCAGGATAAAAGACTTTATGCGGCTCTTCGTCAAATTCATAATTTGCTCCATTTTTTTCCTACCTAGTCCAAACAAATAGTCCCACCATTACTGATACTGAACAGTATTTCTTCATCTGGATATGTCTTAAAGTCATCATTTACTGTATTCATGTTTAACAAATGTTTTATTGTTTTATAGAAACAAGCAACCTGTAGCAGCAAACTCAACAGAAAGCAATGAAAGACAAATGTTTCACATCAGGAAAATGGAAAATAAGTTCCTCATTGGGTCATTGGATAATTTATTATTAATGTGTGTCAAAGGGGAATATTTTGATAGCTGTGAGATTTTTCTGCCATTTTCTCATGAATGTCGTATTCTTAATAGTCTACCACAATTCATTTAGAGGAAGCACACATTTAAAGAAGAAACACTAAAATGCATTTGAAGGCTAAATTTTAAAGGAATATATCTTCAGTCACAAACAAACAAAACAACATTTAGTTCTTACAGTCAAAATCACTCAAAATCAGTAGTTTCACACGTTAGCAAAGAAGGATCATGGGCGATAAATCATTGTTTAACATACCATCCACAGTCACAGTGTTATGATATCAAAAGCACACCTATACTAATTTTGACCAACACAATTACATTACAAGCATGAACAAATTTATTTAAAAAGCGATGTTTACAATAATTACTCCGCATTGCCTTCTGAGTGAGGCCCTCTCTTTACGCTCTGACGGTGTAGCCATCGTTAGCCTCTAGCTAGCTCCTGGCCAGCTTTCCCTGCGTAGCCGATGTGTTTATGATAAGACAATTAATCGCAATTGATAAAGAGGAGGCGAAGAGACATGTGCAGCTTTTTTCGTACAAGCCTAATTACTCCCCCCCGAATCCAGTGTGTGAGTGTCCAAAGCACTCTTCAATTCAGAGAGTCAACAGCGTGACGAGACACAAGGGAAGGTGCTGGGCGGGGCTGCAAAGATGCGCAGCCAATCAACTCATGGAATAAATCCACTCGTGCTGTCATTGGTCGACGTCACGTCGAGAACCAATCATGCATACAGGTATGTACAAAACGTCTGAGTCATATGGCATTTTTTTTCTGAATACAGTACTTTGGAAACAAAAATGCAATGCACTGAAGCCGCGATAAATGAAGCGCAATATAGCGAGGGATAACAGTACTCTGACTTTTCTTTTTAACTGCCTTACGGCGGAACGAGTGATTTGCATGTTTGCCTTGCAATCAGGACGAACTGTTTTTGGAAAAATTCTGTGGAGAGTTTGGTCTGCTCTGGCTCACACGGGTTTTATCCGGGGTACTCCGGCTTCCTCCTACATTATAAAAATATGCATGTTAGATCAAGTGAACATTCTAAAATTCCCACAGGTGTGAATTTGAGTGTTAATGGTTTTTATCCAATATTCTGCCCTGCAAGTAACTGGTGAGGTTAGGGTGTACCCCACTTCTCATCCGAAATGGTTGTTTCCCACAACCCTTATGAAAAAGAGTGGCACGGAAAATGGATGGATGGCTAAACTTCACACCGGCTAATAAATGTTCCAATCAGACTACACAGCATTTTCAGACCCGTGATGTTGCTCCCATACAATTAGATTTACGAACATCACCTCAGTGAGTCCCCATTAATGAGTTACTTAATTCATGCACACAAATGAAACAGTTGGTGCCTTTCCATCAAAAGATCACCGAAATAACTTCAAAATAAATTGCACCAAAATGCATTCTGACAAGCAACAAAGCTCGTGATGGAATGTCCTTTGTGACAAAACTGCTTTTTGCCAGGTCACTTCAGCTCTATCCTAATAGAAGCCATTTGAATTCAGTATAAAGAAAAGAACACTGTGCCTACTGTGAAATGGCGGGGAGGCACGTTTATGTTCAAGGGCTGCTGTACTAAATCTGGCACAGGATGTTTTTAATACGTGCAGGGTACAATGAAATCCTGAGGCATTCTGGTGCAAAACATGCTGCCCAGGACCCACAATACACAGGTAAAAACATAAAAGAATGCCTAACAACAAAACATTGAAGTGTTCTAAAGTGGCCTTAAACTGAACCCTGCTTTAAATTATTTTCAACGTCTCTAGAATGAGCTGAATGTGGAGTCTGTCGGTGGCTGCCCTTCAAAGCTGAGACACTTGGAGAAAGTTCACTGCTGAGGAGCGGGCCAGCATACCTATCAACAGGCTCACTCGTCTCATTGAGACTTACAAAAATTGTGTGATGACGGTGGCTGCCTCCAAATATTGCATAGTTAAATATCAAGTCAGGGGTACACCATTATTTTTGCCTAGACCACTTTCATTTGTGTTTTTGAAAATGATTATGTTGGGCCACAGATTCTAGTTATTTCAGTGAGTGTGAGTTTTCCTTCTGGAATGGAAGGGTACCAACAATTTTGTCCAATTGTGTGTAAAGTTGACACTTGACTGTGAATCTTGTTTGCTCAGAGCTCTAGAAGTTGTAGTTCTTACTGTCTGCTATCAAACCATTATTTAGGCTAGACAAATAAATCTCTTACGCCCTCAGCAGTACACTAACCACAGGTACCTGATTGTCTTTCCCTGTTTTGCGCATTGATTGTCAGAGGGAGAGATCAGTGCCATCAATTTCGAGTGGTCAGAATATATCGTGCCATTGAGTGTTAAATTAATGGCTTGTTCTCAGAGTGCAACTGCTTGTGTCTAATCTAATAAAATCTCTGCTCCGGTGACAGTGTCACATGCTCGGTCACTGCTCCAAACCAAAGGGGGGACAGGAAACAACAGTTGTCTATAGTACAAAAACCCGGCCCTAAAAGACAAATAATGATCGCCAAAATCGGAATGTGACTTGTCGTTGTGATGTAAAAGTCACAATATCCTCTTCAGAGAACAGCTGTGTGGATCGAGCTGCACTTTTCCTGACAGCTGGGACATCAAACCGATTCCTCTCATAAATGGCAGCACACTCTGAACTATGTCAATAAGGTCTCATGTCACTGAAAACAAGATAAGTCACAGATACAGCTTGTGTAGCCTTGTCAGTGTTCACACACCATGAATGAGTTAACTTATCCTTCACACACTGATGCCAGAAGTGCAATTGGGCCACTCTGTAAATAACAGGCAATCTAATAAGAAACATGTGTGATACCTGGTTATGTAAATCAATGGTCTTGCAAAGTTGAGAGAAGTCTGCGGGGTTTTTTTTTAATCGTGATTTTTAGATTTGGAATATGTGGTTTGGTAATATGAGACAAAGGGTATATAATTTTAGACTTACCCCCAGTTAGCTCACTTGCATGCCTGTGGGTCTAGGACAGAGTTCCCTGCAGGGAGATTCCCACTGTTGCAGAGTGGCATTTGGACTACAAACAAACAAACTGGAGTTGAAGTGTTGCTTTAGTGTTCAGGTTAGACAGTATTTGGCATTAAACTGTTCATTACAGGACAACAAAGTACAACATAAGACTGCAGTTTTAGTAGAGCACATCAAATCAATTTCATGCATGGCATTTGGGAGTTTATGGTTAGTACAAGGTTCAGATATGATAACAAGCGCTTTTCTGACATTGAGAAAGAGCAAGGCTTTCATGTTTAAAGCGAAAGTCGTTGTTTTGTTTTTACCTCTTTTTTGTTCCACTCTTCAAGCAATTTCTCTTGTGCTGACACGTGTGCGTATTGATTTCTTTCTGCGTTTGGCCATGCATTTCCAGCGATCGCTGCTTGACGTTGTCTGAAACCCGCAGGGCAGAAAGAGTAAGAGGAGTTCCGAATTGTTCGCTCACGTCAGCGTCTGCTTGCATTTGCCTTTAAACGCTTCAGAGGCTGTCCCGCACCGCATGCCACTGACAGCGGACGTTAACTCCTCCCCTCGTGGCTCTCTCACTTCCCTACAACGTCATTACCATAAACGCTTCCTCTCCACGATCGTACAATGCGATTGCTCATTTGACTGCGGTTATTTAAAATCTTTTAAAAACCATTTGTGTCTGGCTACGAGAAGAAGGCACGCCGTTTGTTTCCTCATTCTGAAACACCAGTCGCACCGGTTCGTGATGAAGAGGTTGACGGATGAAAAAAAAAACCCTGATCCAATCCGGTTTGTCGAATTGTAGTCACCATAGCCGGTCTTCATTCCCGATGCTGTCTAAACCTTACCGTGCCCTTCAGTTCACATACCATTAAGGCCACCTATAAACTGTCCACAGCAGCGTCACCAACGTTTTGCCCCCACCCCCCACCCCCAGGCCAACAGAAGTAATCCGCGGGCATTTTCTAAAAAAATAAATACATTAAAAAAATTGGTGGCAGCGATGGGACATTGTGATTTTCTCGGAATATCGTACATGTGATCGTTTTAAAACGTGAACACTGGCAGATATTTCTTTAAAAAGTGTTGACTATTATTTATCGGATTCCAAATGATTGTGAAAACTCATTAGCATGCTCACTGTCTTTACGTGAATGCATATCACTCATTATTAATAATAACATATAATTGTCACATTATTAATGGTAATTAGAGGAAATTTCTTTCAGTTGTGCGTGTCAAAATGAGAGCCCTTTGCGCTAATCAATCGGCATGCAAGTAGTTTTCAGTTTCAAAAGGAGTAGTGACCCCTGGTCTATAGTGTCTATCCCCAATAAGTCCATGGGTGAGCTGGAATCTATCCCAGCTGACTTTGAGCAAGTGGTGGGGCACACCCAGGACTGCTTGCCCACAAATCACAGGGCACATGGAAAAAAACAACAGCAATTACTCACAGTCACAACTACGGACACTTTAGAATATTCAATCAATTACTCAAACGTTATTTCTAAAGCACTTTTCATGCATAGCAAAGCAACTCAAAAGTCCATCCATCCATCCATTTTCGGATCCGCTCATCCTCACGAGGATCGCGGGCATGCTGGAGCCTATCCCGGCTGTCTTCCGGCAGTCGGTGGGGGACACCCTGAACTGGTTCACAGACAATCGCAGAGAACATATAGAAGAAAAACCACACCCACACCTTTAAAGTGTTCCATTTACCTGCCATACATGTTTTTGGAATGTGGGAGGAAACTGGAATCCCCAGCGAAAACACACACAAGAAGCACGGGGAGAACATGTAAACACCACACAAGAAGGGCGGAGCTAGAATCGAACCCTGCACCTTTGCACTGTGTGGCGGAGGTGCTAACCAGTCCCCCAACTCAAAAGTTGTTCACTTAATTACAATAATTTAATTGCAAAGTGTGACTTATTTTTTTTAAATCAACCTAAATTCAGGTGAGGAGAGATTCTTCCGTGTTTTTGCCAGCACAATACAATGTTAACTCTGGAACTGATTTTATATTCCAAGTCCCAATTGAACAATGACAAAGTCACCCTGAACAGATCAGCCCTGCACTGCACATGTGATCATGCAATTGGCTATGGACCACTGCCAGACACAGACCATTTATTTTGCTCTGTTTGCAAACGTGTGCGTGTGTGTGTGCGTGTGTGTGTGTGTGTGTGTGTGTGTGTGTGTGTGTGTGTGTGTGTGTGTGTGTGTGTGTGTGTGTGTGTGTGGAGTACAGAGCAATTATTGTAAGGATTATTGTAAAGAATTCAGCAGACAGCTGATCCGTAATCTCGATAAGGGACACAGAGATGTTGATTGACAAACTGCCCAGAGAAAACACACTGAACGAATTAGAAGGCAGCGAAAGTGTGGAAAAAAAACATCGGTCCAAAATTGTATTCATACACAATATCGATGGAAGTACATGAACCCCTGTCTATAACACAAACAAGAGGTGAGAATAGAAGAATATTTATTTAGTGTGTTTTCTGGAGTTTCCACTCTTCTGGAAAGTGGCACTAATTGTCCATTCATCCAAAAAGAACATCAAACTTGCTGTTCTCACTGTATCTGCTCCCATTGGGTTCCATCTTAAGGAAACATGGTATTTCCTTCCACTGCTATGCAGATGACTGTCAGATCTATGTCCCACTGAGCAAAAAAGACACTTTCTCACATGGCAACAAAACACACAGAAGAAAATAGACACAACACAATTTAAGATATTATGACATACCAGTACTCAAGTCCATTTTCTGTAAACCTACATGGCCAATTCAGAAAACCTTTGAGGTTTATTCAACTCAATACTCAACATAAATTGGTGAGGCATTGACTTCCAGATTGGAGGAAAGACAGTTGGATTCTTAGATCATCTCATTTACATGTTACATTTTGGAGAACGGACATATTGTGTGTCAAGCAGCTGACAAGTGACGCGCATTAGACTGAATGGAGTCACTCACCTAGGCATCACACAACTCGTTGTCAGTCTTAACGCAACACTGACATTCTGTTTTTAATACTGTCCCCAAAGTTTTAACCCTGGCCCATTTTCAGTGGACAGCCTTGCTTTACAAACGTGACCTGCCCTGCTGCCCTCACTGCACGGAAGGCCATCTTCCTGTTTTTCTCCCAACAGTTCATAGGATATATGCAGAGCACATGATTGACAAAGAGCGTAGTCAGCACTTGGAAGTAGAGGGCATAGACCCACCCAGACAAATGACACTTACGGTATTTTACTAGAACAAATTATCGTCAAACAACTTAGAAGTACTTGTTATTATCAGAAAAGTTGATTAAATTTCCATGGAGAGAGCATCTTAACACTGTTGATGCACAGCACCTTTGGTGCCCGCGGCGAATGCTCTGGCAATTGTCCCTGAGCCCTTGATAAACGATCATTGAAAAGGAGGGGCGGAAATGGAACATTTTACCAGTTGCTGTAAGCATACATCAGCCAAGCTGAACCTTAAGATAAGATAAGATAAGATAAGATAAGATAAGATATCCTTTATTTGTCCCACACTGGGGAAATTTACAGCCTTCAGCAGCAAGATTGTGGGTACGCGACTCAGGAAGCAATCACGCGGTTGTGGCCATATTTTAACATGTGTCAAGAAGATATTTTTGCATCCCAACTAAATGAGTTTGGTACCTTCCAAGTTTAATTTTGACAGGCTGGCACTCCATCTCATGATGGTATTCACATGCATCAGTGGTGCAATCCTCAGTTTTTAGGTACTGGCATGGGTTGTGTGGTCCTGTCAAATGGCCTCCAAAATCCCATCGAATCGTTGTACTTGAGTTTCATCTTTGGGGTTATGCAATGGCCATGGTGCATCAGTAAAAGTTACAAAGCCGATGTCATCTCAGGGAATGTGTCACCAATTCCTTTAAAAGCCAAACGTCAGCTGTACTAATACGTGCTCTTCAGCAATGGAGGACACACAGTGAAATGTGTTTTCAAAACGATGGGAGTCATATAGTGTGTATTAGAGCAATAAAAATCACAGCAAGAAAAAAACGGTTTATTTTTCCCATTAATGGAAAATTATTGCACATGCTGTATAGCTAAATAAAGCACAACAAAGCAATAAAGCAACAGTTGAAGCATATATGGCTATTTGTAGTACGAAAACAATGTAATCATGTTTACGCTCTTTTTTTAAGAGGAACCCTTTAGAACCAACAGGCACGCAGGAGTGAATCAAATAACCAATCGGCCACAGAGAACAACAGCGAGCAAAAATGACATTGGAGGAGAGTGAGGCGCCATTCACATCCCGTTGACCCATTGTCCAGCTTCCTTTGCGTTTCGCAAGCAGGGCTTCCTCTGGATACAGTGGTCGGATCAAGAAAGACAACACATGCGCACACACACTCGCACGCGCGCACACACACACACACACACACACACACACACACACACACACACACACACACACACACACACACACACATACAGATCTCTACAACCTCCAAACTATCCCAGCTGACTTTGGTCATAAAGTGGGGTACACCCTGGACTGGTCGCTAGCCCACAACCATTCCATCTTTCACTTACACTAATTTAATCTTCAATTAGTCTAACATGACTTCTTTTGGAATATGGGATGAAGACAGAACACACAAAGAAACCTCATGCAAGCATGGGAGGAGCATACATATCAAGGCCATAGACGACATTCAAAAACCGGACCTCAAAACTGTGAGGCATACTCTATACCAGCGTGCTGAACATTTATTTAACACCATATTTGCACAGTGTTACCATGTTAACATGGCTCCCCCCCCCCTTCTTTATGACGCTATTCAGAGCTTTTACATGTGGTGCAAAAAACCTAGTTCACACGATTTAGCACCTATAGACAAAAGGAAGTTCATGAGTGAAGATAATTACCCAAAAAAATCATAAACTGTGAACCATGCCTCACAATTAACCTCGTCTCTTGCATTAACTCTTCAGTAAATAATCCAATTAGCAACAGTAATTTACTTACGGGAAATTTCCAGAAGAGGGCGGTGTAACAGCAGTTTTGCCAACCCTGGCGTAGTTGCTCTTCTCCAAAAGACTGTCAAGGATTTTTTGGTGTTCGCTTTCTAACACATTTAGCCATGGTTCAAATCAAGACAAGCTACAAATATCTACCTAATTGTATTGGCATTATACAAGGTAACGATGTTGATGATGATGATGGTGATTATTACTATTATTCTTAATATTATTATTATTATTATTTTAGAGAGCGGCGTTAAATCGCGATGGTCTTTTTAATTTAGGAGTGACGTCGTCAATCCCGGAGACAGAATCGGTGCATCAAGTAATAAGCTACATTGGCAAAAGGAAACTTTCAGAATAAAAATAAATTCGTACCTGCTCAATTTGTGGGAGCCATCGCTCTCCCTTCACAATTATGCAAAACTACTGCATGCAACTGCCACATCGCCATCTGATGCAGTTCGAATGACAAAAACATTCATATTTTAAATAAAATACTCACATGCTCCAAATGCATAATTTTGTGCAGATTGTGTTTTCCATGTCAAATAATGGGTTTAAAGAGTTTTGCTCTGACCAACCAGAGGACAGAAAAATGCTGAAATCATTGAGGGCCAAATTTCTGGCTTTGTGAGGATGAATTTACAATTTGATGAATTTAATTGACTTAGACTAGCCCCTGATTCTGAAGGCCCTGGGCAGATGAGGCTGACGAGGCCGAACATAATGGCGGATAAAAAAATCAAGTCAAGAGAAACACTGCAGCATGAAGAGAATATAAATTTTTAGAATAAATAAATATAAATTAATGCCATAAATGTTGAATTCAATTAGTTAGAGGTCAGTGCTTTTGTTCGTATTTAGGCCAGCGGAGAAGGCCTTGTTTGCTCCTACGGCTCACCACTCCTATTAATCAAAACTAAAACAAACAACCCATAAAATACACAAAGTAACACGAGAATTAGGAGTCCCTCAACCAGTTTTCCTGTTCCTGACCTCAGTCGAGGTGCAAGTTCTTGTTTTGAAAACTTGGTTAGAATTCAGGAATATGCTTGAGGGCTACTGTTTCCCCTCCATCTATTCTAAGGAATGAGTGGACATTATTTACTTGGACAGACTACTTAGTGTGTTTTAAAACAAAGAAAATGGTGAGCATAGTGGACCTCTTGATGATGTGAAACTGCGTTTAAGCGTTATTTAATTGGTGATTGCGAGTCAACCATTATTTGGAAGTCAAACTTGCAAGTGCCTACTTTATTTTGAAACAACTTACCGGAACCGAAAAAATGTGACCATTGTGGGGTTGTGACAGACGCTCGCGCTGTCAGCAACACAGTGAGCACACCGCTACCGAGCCGGCAGGGAGAAAGAATGTGAACAAGGTGGCTTTATGTTTTAACTGTTGTCCGTTTCTCTGGCGAAAAAAAACCCACAATCAGAGACATCAGTAACATGAGGTTATTTTTTCGGATTTTATTCAATTTTTGTGAGCCTTTTTTTTCCACGCTTTCTCAGAGATGGATTGGAAGCAGCATTGCGAAGAATGAGTGAGTGAGGACGGAGCATCATTTACCTTCACCGGAAATTCATTTTTGATGACACCGTTCGGAAACACTACTCTGAGTGTATGGGAGTATTTTTCGACGAAACGACATTGTTTTTGGGAACAACACCTTGGACATCATGAGCTCTAATGGTAAGTCCATTCCTATACAGTAGGTGAGAGCAGTGGGAAGAACTACTGTAGATCAACAGTAGTCCATGTGATCGTTATAGTTACACCTGAACAGTCATATGCGGCTCAGTACAAGAATCATATCTTTAATTAGCTTAAAATGATCCGTTATTTCACACAGTTGTCTTGAGGTGCCGATTGCTAAACTCATTGTGTTGAAAGGGGTCCCCAATATGTTGGCCCATGTTGGCTACTATGATAAAACTGAATGAATCAAATGGCAAGGTCAGTCACAAAGTTCAGATTTTTTTTCAGGACAACGGGGTGATTCTGCTTCCAGGTGCCTCATTTCTTTTCTTCCTCATTCTCATCTCCATTCACACCCAAAACATGGACTCATACTACAACTCCTCACAGACTCTCATATGCTCATGCAGTGTAAATGGATATTTATCGTGTTGTATATTTTTAAAGGAGCACTTTCACAGATATTCATCCCCCACAGACTTTCAGCTGTCTCCTTCATTTAAAGTTCACCTGTCACTTCTCCATCATGTGGCCATTGGAGGAGCAGGGAGTGCTGCACGTATTCCAGACAGCCTGCTACTGGTCTCGTGGACTTTATGTGATTGTGATTCGGAGCATGACAAAGATGCCCGGAGCACCCTGTTGTACTTATCTTAGACTAACCCGGGGGCTGCCGTGATGTTAAACTGACCTTGTATCAGCTGACTCTGACCCTGATCCCCTGTCAGCTGAATCAGGGCTTTCCTCCCGCAGGGCGGGTGGCTCAGTGGCTGTTGTGCATTTGTACAAGTTGCCCCTTGTTAATTCACGAGGAAGACAGCTGAGATTTGTCACAGGAAACTTAAAAACATCTCATGTGTTGCAAAAGTTCAAAAGCACCAACTGCAGTCCCTTCCAGTCCTGCTTCCACTTCTGATCATGTCACATCAGAGGAACCTGATGTATGACTAGTGTATTGTTGACTGATGCATTATTGCATCAGTCATACACTAGTCTGTCATTTGAAGAACCTTCATCATTCATCCAATTCTCTTAATTCTCATGGTGGTACTTCTTGCATTCCAACAAACTCCCAAGTAGTGTGCATGTCAAATGCCAGCATTTACTTGCATGCTGGTTAAGTTCAAGCTGCAAATGACAACACTTTCATGGTACCTCTTGTCGTACAAGAACTTGCTTCCCAGGTTTTACCTCCACAAATTTTACATCTCGGAAACCTGGAAAAGCTGCAAACAACTACAGCAGATTCGATTGATGATGGGATGCATTATTTTGGAGTGACCGCAGACTAGGGCTGTGTGATTTGGCAAAAAAATAATATCGCGATAGTTTTGTGAGATAACTTGATCAGGATGCAATAACAATTTTACTATGGGCTCAAGGAAAACAAAATTCTAAATTATAATTCCAAAAATGAAATTATTCAAAAATGCAATAATTATTTCAAATTGACAATGAAAATTGCAGAAAACATGAACTGATAATTATTTCGTTATTGGTTTGGTCTATAAAATGTTATAATTGCTTGATCTCTGATTACGTTTATATGCAGTCAACAACCTTTTAAAAACCCTAATTTTAGCAATATTTGTCATGTAAATACCTGAAAAAAACCCCGATATGCTCATATTTTTGATTACTCCTTTTCTCACCTGAAAACTATATTTTGGTCACATAAATGTATGCTTGTCATCACAGATACATTTTCAGGACTACAGTCAGCAGGCAACAAATTATTTCCTCTTTTTTTTAACGTTACACTTGATGGGTGGGCAGGCCCTCCAGCAACCAAAATATTTGTATACAAATCAATATGTTCTATGTGGCTCCGCTAGTGTAATCATGGTGTTCTGATTAATATCATGTTTGTTGCATCTGAATCAAGCAGCAAAATCCACCCGGTTTTGTCCGCCTCAGGGGGCAGCCATTTTGCCACTTGCTGTCGACTGAAAATGACACCATAGTCGCTCAAGGCTCAAGTCACAACCAAACACTCCCGCCACCAAGCAAATCCCGTCATCAGGATGTGAAGGGCTGAAGAATGAGCGCACATAAAACAACGTCAATAACATGTCATGGTTTACTGCTGGCTAAACGCTCCAGGTCTGTGTCAGCGCTGTCACAGCAGGCAGATGGTGGTGGAACATGCATCTGTTGGCATGAACACATCTGAGTGTAACGAAGGACAGATCCTTTCCTCCAGTGAGTCAACATGTGTCCTCCTGTTCCCGCCGGCTTTCTTCTGGCTCATACATGAACAGGCCTGTTAAGGCAAAACGAGTGCATTTTACACTGCATTGGGCATGATTGACCAGAGGCCATCCTCGCACACAGAATTGTTGAACACAGCGCAGTCTGTCTGTCTTCATCCATTGGCCAATCACCTTGAGCACTGGGATTATTGTGTCCAGTGTGCCTGCTTGGCAAACCAAACTGGGCTGTAGATGTCACATATTCTTACTTGAATTTCATACACCCGCAAGTGAGCAAAAGCAAAGGTTTTAAAGGTCAGAATGACATCAGATGGGATAAAACACATGTTGATCAAAACACCGATTATCGAGTTCTGGAACCTGACGGAATCTGCAGGGCCAAACATCACTAACAAAGGTGATTTCTTTGACTTGCCTAGCAGAGCTATAACATCAGAAACAATGATTCCTGTGTACCATAAACATTGACCTCAGTCTCAAGGTTTGAAAAAGTTCAGTAGAAAGCCTAATTACATGACACGTTCAATCATAAACATATAATTGCATTTGGGGGGCAACATGCTCTAGATATAAAAATGACCTAGTTCTGTATATATTGTGAGTCAATAAAAAATGCTAACACGGCTTTTTTGGCAAGAAATGAATATATATAGACAATACATTTGTGGAGCTTTTTACAACAGAATAGCAATAACTTTGTCAAATGTCAAAATCCTTATTTCACATCGTCATGCACTGAATTATCCAATGAGCCATATTAAAGCCGTCTTTGATAAATGACCATTTAATAAAGATGTCAATGTTGTATCATTATCATTTTAAATTAAAGTAAATTAAAAAAAAATGTTACTCAGTTTAGCTCATATTGTTAAGAAACATGATAATTAATACAGGAAATTTATTTCGGTTACTGTCTAGCTTTGGGAAGTGTAGTCAGTTTTTAACTTTTAATATATAGAGGACTGCAGGGAATGTCAAATAGAACTTTGATTCGGCCCTCCAAAATAGAATAATACTGTACTCAACAGGTAAGATAAACAATTGTATGACGTTTCCCCTTTTGTCCATGACCCTGGCCTCTGGTCCGATGCCTGATCATTCACATTGTCAGTGGTGGTGTAACCTTTTGCTCTCCAGTGGCATTGAAGCAGAATGTTAGGAGCGATACTGACTGGGCAGTCATCGCTTTGATGAATGCTCCTCTGCAAGGTCTTGGCTCAGTTCAAGGATGATAACGGCATGGTGAGGTGAGGCTGGAGATTTGATCATTTGCCACTGTCGACCACGGCTTGATCATGAAAATTTCCCTATTACAAAGATTACGTATTCTCAAAGAGACCCACTCAGGTGAATGAACTCTCGTGAGCAACGTGTGTGAATGTTAACCAGATTAAATTCACAGGTCGGCATATTAGTTGACCTTTAATCATGCGACTGTCTCAACACCCGATTTCTATCGGCATCTTGTTTGAATCGAAAGGAGGTTTTGCAAAAAGACGTGCAACAAGAGAGACACAAAGTGTCAGTAAGGATTCATTATTCATTAGAATCATTAGACGGATTAAAGGAACGGCAAGAGGTGTGGTCACCGTTGTGTAACTAAAATCCCAAACTGGTTTTGTGACATTTTGCAAAAAGCTTTAACTACACAACACCAGCCTTTCTCCCTTTCCAAACGGACTCCTTCCAGTCTCGTGTACTCAAATCATATCATTGAATATTATATATTATATCATATACAGCATTATGCCTGCCTTTAAAACAATAAAGATATATATGCAGTTTACATGCATGTATTCATTTCACTTGCACTTTTGCCACACAACCCCACAAGGTCATCAGACTGCTTTTCTTGTGATTGTTATCTCTTCCTTCCCCATCACCAACAATTTCCCAGCATCCCTTGCGGCCGTGCTCCAAGCATACTCTTTGCCGTGACTGTCATGTCCGAGGCAGAAATAGTAGCAGTCTCTTGGTCTCTGGGGATGCTGTCTGCCTCACTGACCAAGGCCCTGTTCTTATCACCTGTCAACTCCAGGCGGGATTCTCCTCGGGCATTTGCCAATGATTTAGTCTGGGATTACACCTGTTGCTGGGCGCCTATCGTGAAAGGAATGACTCACCACCCTGTCACAGGGAAAGGATGGATTGCTCGAATGGGCTGAATGGCAATGAATCCACTTACATAATTGGATAGAATGTCGTAATTCTGTGGTTTCTCAAATCACTGAATATGTGGGCTCTCGTTTTAGCGACAGCACTTTGACATTCCTACGATACAATAGAGCTGGCCGATATATATCTCAAATTGAAGAGAAACGTTTCTATTGTGTCACTTTTCTACAATGTTGTGTATTGTCATTTATCACCTGCAGCCAGCTGCGTGAAACAAAGGTCAGAGGAAGCGTGATTTGATAGGTGAAGCCGCTAGTTTTTGCTCCAGATCACCCGTTCTGTGTTACGGGTCTGGCGTCGGTGATACAGGCTCGGCAGGAAAATATGTTGTGGTATATCGTTGACGCGGGTTTTTGCATTACTATCAAAGTCAGTCAACCATTTCATTGAATTAACTAAGCTAAATCAGGCACATCAGGTGAAATAATTCCAACTGAACCAACCATTCAAGCAATGATGACTTCATTTTTTGGTTGGAACGTTTTCTGTGTGTTGAGAGCTGAGAATATTCCCGACTTGCCTGTTTGTATCGGCAAAATTTCGAAGGTCAATGTTATAAATAAATATCTGCGCATAGAGTAGGATGTGGCACAAGCTACTGTATGTTCCCATTATTGCTTTTTTTAACCTGATGGGATGACTGCTGTTCCTTCTGGTTTTACGCTGAACAATATGCAGTCCTACCTCTCTCTCTCTCTCTCTCTCTCTCTCTCTCTCTCTCTCTCTCTCTCTCTCTCTCTTCCTAACACATACAAAAACATTTACCAGGAAGAGTCATGATTCAATCCAAAGTATCTGATGGAGTAGTGGATTCCATTGGCATGACCAGCATTGTGAGGGGAACAATGAATTAACAGTGTCTAGTCTGTGGGAGACAGAGAGTAGGACGTAATCAAGCTTGCATATTTCCAATGCCCACTCGTTGGATGTGAACAGGAAGGTAAATATCGACAGTCATACAGTCATGCATACATTCTGCCTCCAGTCCATGAGAGTATGCAAAGACATGCCCTACATAGATGCACATAGCATCATCCAGCTCACAGCACACAGGATATGAGGCATGCAAGGCTCTTAGACATCTTAAGTACTGCGAACCCTTCGAGAATCCTCCAGTGAAATGGAATCAGTAGCTCGAGCGCGCCAGCCCATGTGCTGCCACCACTGAAGCAGCAAAGTCCTTCAGTCAGCTATTTAGGTGACAAGCTAGGCCAGATGGTTATCCTGCCATTATACCTCTCCACCCCTGTCGATCCACTCGGATGCTCCTTGAGGAAGATGAAGAGCCAAATGAGCAAGCATGACTGCAGCTGTTGATTCACGTGCTTTTTAGGATGTCCGGGTGTCTTGTGAATACAATGGGACTCTTTTATAATGCACTAGTCGCTGATGGTGTCGTGGTACACTCGCCTGATTTGTGTGCGGGTAGCATGGGATCAGTTCGCACTCAGTGACGGCGTGGATGTGGTTGTGGATTGTTGTTTGTCTCTAGACGTGCCCTGCGACTGACTGACGACCAGCTCGTAGTGTAGTGTGTCAATCGCCCATAGTCAGCTGGGATAGCCTCCAACAACCCCCGCGACCCTCTTCAGGATAAGCACTATTAATGGGGGTGTAACAACAACAAAAAAAAAAAAGATTTGAATCGGAAAATCGGTTTTGATTTAACCACACCAAATGTAATCGTTTTGAAAAGATTCAAGGACAGTTCGATTTGTAAGTGGAATGATTCGATTCAGTTCGACTCAGTGGGATTACGATCTGGTACGGCTCAGTTGGAGTGGGTATGGTTCAATGGACCTTTTGTTGTCATTTTACTTACATTTGAATGACCTTGCCAGTACTGTAAATCTGCAAAGCTATGGCTCTCCGAAAAGACGATTCGATACGTATGTCGATATACAATATTTCAAAGTAGAACGATTCGATTCGGTTGAATTTGATGCACTTGCACATGTATCGTAGTAAACCAACAATTTATTCAAACTTAATTCTTACCTTTAAAACTATTTTTGGTCTGGTTAAAAAAAAATATATATATACTATAATGTTTCAACACTGTGCCCGCTCTCTGTCCACCACAGCGTATCGCCGAGGCTCAATGGGAGGCGAGCCAAGTGGTGGGCCAATTCGGTGTCAACGGTGTCGAGAATTGTGCAAAGGAGAGGTGGTTCGAGTTCAAGAGACCCACTTTCATGTCAAGTGTTTCACCTGCACAGGTAAGACCTGCTCCATGACAACTCGGAGTTAGGAATTTTGCAGCAATTGTAGCTAATTCAAGGCAGACCAGACACCAGAACCAAGAACTGAGTCACGTCCTTACTTTTTCTGCAAACAACCTGCATCGACTGCTTAGAATAGCGGATCTTCTTGCTAATCCATTTTAGTCCCCATGCTGAGTGCTACTATTAGCCCACAGTGAGGATTGGAGCGGATCAGAGTTGCCCTGCGGGGGACTTAGACTGCTACTAAGGTAGCTTGTAATAGTTCAGTCAACTCAGAAGGGATTTCCCCTGTTGTACGCTGCTGTCTAATGACATTGTTGCCCAGCTTTTTCCATGCTACCACTGAGGAAAAGGCCTGCAATAGAGATGTCGCAATGGCATACACATCAGGAATTGTGTTGAATACAATACAATTCAGATTCTTTAGGAACAAGATTAATTGTCCCATAATTGTTTTAAAATAATACATAAACTACAAATATTAGACCGATGTAGCATTAAAAATATAAGCCCACGATATATTAGCACATGATCATCATCATACAGTATGTTGTAAAATTGGAAAGCAGGAAGAAGGCTTCAGATGTCAGAGTAACATGTTATCCCATTGCCTTAAGCGAAATGATTTTGATCTGTGTGCATCAGTTGGAATGCATGAATAATCAAGCGCAGAGAAAATATATTCTCATTTAAGCAGGACAGCATTTGATTCATTAAAATAATGATGCTTGGTCCCCACCCATGATGGTGGAAGGCCTTTTTACTCTTCGTCGTAACAAAATGTACAAAGTGGTGAGAAGCCGTTCAACCAAATGTTAACATTACGCCATAGATAAACAGGTTGTCACCGGTTGCTCGGATGTGTCACATTGAGAGAGCAGACAATACAGTGATTCAGACATTTATCAGGATAAAAAGTTCATATTTACCTTAAGTGCACAAACATTGGAAAGTCAGTCAGTGTTAAGGATCAGTGTCAGTCGTGTGGTTGTCACGATTAAATAATTTTAGAATTGATTAGTCTATCGCACTTGATAACAACCACCACTACAAAAATAATTCATACCACAAAAATCAATAAAACAATACATTAATAACAAAGAGAGTAGAACGCATAAAAACAGTAAAACCAAAAATGAAGCCTGAGTGTGAGTCAAAAGCGAAAGAACAAAAATGAGTTTTCAGATGAATCAACAGTTAAGCAATATCAGATAAGATGGATTGACATTGAACTCGCCAACCTTTTTGAAACTGATTCAATTACTGGTTCGGTCATTGCTTTTCAAACTTAAAACTAATAGAGACTTTGTATTTTGATAGAGCACAAATGATAATCTGTCTGCTTTAGTGAAGCGCGACAGAAATCTGAAAATAATGACCTTTGAGACACTGAAATCAGAAGATTTGGACAATTTTAAGTTAAATAAGGGCTCTCAACAATTACACAATCATTCAAATGGCTTATTTCATATTTTATAATCATTTGATTGTTTATTAGTTGTCGAACAATTGATACATTTTGATACCTCTTGTATTATCGGAGATAACGTTTGGCACCATCACATTTCCGATTTTCGGAGCGCTTTTTACCCCTGCTCGCGCACTGTTTTTTTCACACCATCTGTTCATCCATTTGTTTCTGTCTTGTCTTTGTGTTTGCGCTCATAAATTTGTAAGGGGTGCAGCAAATATAGATGTGTACTCCAGAAAGCATATTGTTCAAATCGTCTCACAGTTTGTGTCGTTTGTGTATGTTAATAGCATTATGTCATTCTACACTGCATGAAAACACTGAGGGCTAGGTATAACACGTTCCTTACATGTACCTGTCTCAGAAACACACGGACGCACACACATGCGCACCCGCACGCACGCACACACACACACACACACACACACACACACACACACACACACACACACACACACACACACACACACGCGCGCGCGCACTGATATGGTTTGTTGTGCATGAGGCCACATGTGCATTTGTGCATGCATTTCAGCGCACACATGCACTATCACTGTGGTTGTTAAGGGTTGCCGTGGTAACGGTCTGATGGGGCACCCGTGCCCTGGTTGGTGGATATTCTCAGCATCTCTATGGTGCTATTAACCAATCACAAGGCACTATTTGTGCCCCAGAGGAAAAAAAAAAGGGGTGGTGAACAGAGGAAGACAGCAGAGAAAAGAAGAGGGTGGGGGTAGGGTTGTTTGTGTCGCCGAAACCTTACATCATAACTTCGGTTTACTATCAAGTAGGTTTATACTGTATTTCTCCCACTGCTCTGCCATTGTCTATTCCTCATTGCTTCGCTTTGCTCAAGTAAGAGAAAACCTTCACGGATGGACATCAAACAGCCCTCTCATGTTTCAGAGAGCTCTCTCCCCGTCCAAGTGAGGTAATGGGGCATTATTGTGTGGCCAGACAATTCCACATCCCGTCCTATAATGTGCTCTCCTATGCGGGCCTCTGCTCAGCCAGCAGTTTTCCGCAGAATTTTTTGTTCAGTGTCTGACTCCTCCTCACACACAAATGTGCTTTGTGTTCTTTTGAACTTTGTAAACTCCATCTATGACTTCATGCTTGTTGCTGGTACAGTCTGTTTTGGTTAGGTCGCTATGTTTTTCTATAGCTGCTAATGAAGATGCTTCCTTTAAGGCAGGGGTGTCAAACTCATTTTTGTCACGGGCCACATTGTAGTTACGGTTCCCCTTGGAGGGTCGTTATGAATTTTGGGAAACCATATAAATGTTTAATCCCCTCCACATATTATATACACAGCACACAACAAATTGAAGAATAACTAGTTTCAAAATTAGAAGTCAAGAATAATGACTATTATTGTTTTTGTTTTGGATTGCTGGTATTGGTATTGGATTAGATATAACAATTTGAAATGTTGATTCAGACTTTAGCAAGCATCATGGAACTTGACCTGCTTGATTTGCTTTCGCGGGCCACATAAAATGATGTGGAGGGCCAGATTTGGCCCCGGGGCCTTGACTTTGCCACATGTGCTTTAAGGTTACATTTTGCTACCGTAGCTCACTTGCTTAGCCACCACTCCATCTCTTCTCCTCTCCCTTTAAAAAAAAAAAAAAAAAAAGAAAATCTTGACTATTTCACTTTGTCCTTCGTGCTGACTGCCACTCAACCATGAAATCAATTTCTCATCATGGGACAGGATGACATTGTCATGCTGGGTGTGTGTGTGTGGCAAATGCCATTTACCTGGGTGACAATCCTCTGTCAACAGATAATTGCCTTCTCGGTCAGTTGTATTTATGAACATCGGAAATGGGTGTGTTGAAACATTTTATTTTTTTCTTTGATTTTGTTTTTTGTTTTTTTGTCCTCAAACAATCATTAAGTGAGCTTCAACAATAATGTTGGCCTCTGTTACATTGTTGTCACTTCTAAAACTATGACAGATATTTCCAGTTTCCCTTGTCCTCCCTCCCACTTTCTCGATATTCCAGTCTGGTGCATGTTCAAAAGGGCTGACTGTGCCCTGTTGAATAATTGTGACCGCAGTGTCTCGACTCAAGGCAGTACTTGAACAACTGTGTTTTGGAAAAGGATTTTGCCTTTATACAATTGAGATGTGATTGAAGTTGTGATAAGAATTCAAATTCAGCACCAATCCTCCATTTCAAATGTCTCAAAAGTCTGTTTAAAAACACATACTTATAATTCATCTCCTCCATTTTACTCAAGTGTCTGTGGACAAACACATAGCGAGATGCTATCCCAACTGACTTTGGTGCAAAAGGTGGGGTTAAGCCTTAGCTGGCTGTCAGTCAATCACAGATAATTGTAATTTACAACCATAATTGACTATTTTGTAATGGTGATGACATTCCTTGGAGCCTTTGGACATAACACAATTTCCTTCCTGTGGTGATGCTTTATCAGGCCTCCACCTCAGTTACTTTCAATTGTGGCTTGTTTGTTGATCTTGCTGCCTTCATTTTTGCCTTCAGCAAGTACAGTATAAAGTGTCTTCTATAGGCTTGAGATCAGATGACCGGCATGGCTATGGGGGGAAAAAATGTCTAATTTCTTTGACTTCAGATCACTTTTCATTGAAGACAACTAATGGATCTACAATCTTTTACTTGGTTTGAAGGTTTGTGTATCGCCGTCATAATATTAAAGCCTTATATATGTATATGTAAACATGTATATGTAAACACATATATGGAGGGCTCCACCACACACAGTTTAAAGGTGAGCTAATTTATTCAACATACAAAATATTTCGCCTCTCTGGGCTTCATAAGGCTATTAATGTGTTGGCTCTGCTGCCGGCCTTTTATATCGGCAGCTGCTGTAATTAATAGGCGATTGAGAGCTGGGAGACTGTCGGTTATTGCAAAGCCAATCGACATGCAGCAGTGTCAAAATGACAAAATACACAATAGAGAATAGAAAATCGAACAGTGTACAATACAAAGGGGGCTCCACATTTGATTTATATCAACATTTAAAAACAGTGTAAATATGTTTACTACCTCTTGGAGCTATAATCAGAGAGTAAGAGGAGGTGAGCGTTTATTATATGATATTTTTTGCCTGTCTGTAAGTGACTGTATACTTTAGTGTTGTGCGTTTGAGCATAACAGGTCCATCTGCCACTTCTATAATTACCATGGGCTTTTTCGGCCAACCAGTTGTTACTAAGAGGTTTAGTCTCCTTTTACATGGAAGACACCACAGAACCTCAAAGGTGCTTGCCTCTTTTAAAATCGACTCAATGAGACCAACATGGCTATCATGAGATATAAAAGTGACACATTTCTCTTTTGTGTGCTTTGTAGGGGTTACCAGACTACCTCTATTCTTGCCTCTGCCTCGGTTGTATGCCACCTCCAAAGTTTCTCTTCTGCAGCCGGTTTGGGTGAATCTCTTTGTCATAACTCGGGCCTCAGAGTCAAAAACTTTCCCTACAGTATTACAAATCCTCCTTTGTCTGTCCATATGGGATGTT